GCGCTAAAACGTGCTTGATGTGTATTGTTGTCTGCCTCTGGGAGTTTTGGCGTGCTGTTTAGCGTTTAAACGTGTTGTTTAGCGTTTTGGCGCGCTGTTTAGCGTTTAAACGCCCTCTTCGAAGGGAAATTGAGGTTGTCAGGGCGTTTTGGCATTCTATTGAGCGTTTAAACGCTCTCCTCCAGTGAATTTTGGCTATTTTACTTTTTTAGAGCGTTTTAACGCTCTCCTGAGCGCCAAAACGTCATCTTCGAGCTTGTAAGTAATTGTAATCTTGCTTCTTTAAGGCTTCAACTCATCTTGTTGTATTCTTTTGGTTCCCAAGGGCCATAATAGGTGTCAAAAGTCCATTGAAATAAGAATTATCACAACATGTTAGCAAGATATTCAATTATTGTGACTTTACAGTATAAAACCCTAATTCCCATGCAATTCATGATATATTTCAAGTATAATTAAGCCTAAAAACATGGTAAACTAAGGGTTTATCAGCCGTGTTCTTCAATCTTCTTCCTCACGTTGTTCTTCGTCGTTCTTGTTGACAAAACCTTTGTTGGAGACCAGAGACAACGACGATAGGGGATTTGGAATGCATGGTGCAGACTTTGTGCCTAGAATAGTAAGCTTTAGCATCACTCAAATATACTTTTATAGCCTTCAACTTGACACCTAGGTGGCTGAGTCGGTTGAACCGAAACACCTCTTCCTTTCTTTGGACCGGAGGTGGCAAGAGTAGCTAGACCCACATCCTCAAAGTAATTTTTGTGGTCGAATTTCAAGCCATTGAGGGACTTGTAAGATGAGTTGGGCGAAGAGGAGGGTGGTGGTTTTTGTTAGCTTCTAAACCCATTAACTCAAGGTATGTGGTGGCTAGAGTCCATTCATTGTGATTGAGAAAAGAAATGAGAAGGGTGTGTATGAGTATGACTATGAAAGAGAGAGAGGTTATTCAACAAAGGAATGGCAGTGAAAGAGTAAAGTGGAAGAAAAATGAGAAACTTGATGATGGGCTATTTTGGTAGTGCTCAGTGTAACGTGTAGAAACAAAACACCCTACCTCTTCTCTCTCTCTCTCTTTCTGTCTAAAACCAAAAATATTGGATATTAAAAAAAACCAAAAAATAATGGAGGTAAAGAGCTAGCCACGAGATAGATTGTACCACTTTTATGTTTTATATTTTCTTGTGTCCTTGATGAGTGTATTAAATATAAATTATATTACATATATTGAAATTATTATTTAATATCAAAATGTGTCTAACGTGTTAAAATTTAATATTTTTTGAAATTAACGTGTCAGCGTGTCGTATCGTGTCGTGTCTCGTATCCCGTGTCGGTGTCGGTGCATCATTGATGTGCAGTCTACGAGACATTAATCCAACTGTAGGTCGAGCAGTGTCACTCAAAAACATTCTAAAGAAGATTTTTTTTTCCGACTAAAGTCTCTTTTGAATCCCTAACAAAAAAAATACTATTTATATTTTAGTTTCTTACCAAAAAAAATTATTCCTGAGATTCTTAAGAAATTCAAAGTAAACCTATTTAGTTGAAATCATGGTTCCTCACAAATTCAAAAAAGACCCACATTAATCCTTCAAAATGACTAAAAAACCTATTTAGTTGAATTTCATAGAGATCAGACTACTAATTTTTTTTTTAAATGGACTAAAGTAAGGACAATATTTTTTGTTAGGGACACAAAATTGACTTTACTCAAATTTTTTCAAAAGAATTTTACATACAAAATATTTCATATAAAAATATGATATAAAATTTTTCTGAGAAATATTAGTATTATATTGTAGGAGATTAGTATTTCATGTCATACACACAAAGCATGTAAGACCCATTTATTTATTTTAAAAGAATAAATTCCACATACTTTATATCTATGATATAAGATATTAATATCTTATAACATGTCAAAATAATAATAATAAAGACAATAATAGTTTAGTACATATCATTTTCAAAAATTAGATTGATTAGATATTAATATAAATTTAAAAGTAAGGACATAACTCAACCAGAATTTGTGTTGTATAGTGATTTAACGCACTTCATCTCGAGGGTTATTTATGTACCAAACTTAAATTTTACAAGTGACCTTTTAAAAAGTTTTATTTTTCTTTAATAAAACTGATCAAACAGATTCAGATTTCAGACGAGTCATAATTATTTGCAGTTAATGTCAAAATCAATTAGAAGACATTAACATTAAAAATTGAAAACACAATTCTTTTATTTTGTTTTTTTATCCTACAATGGTCAAAAAGCCTTGCAATTGATATTTCTTTGGTTTGTAATTTTTGTAGGGTTGTTTTGAATTGATTTTTCTGTTTGGGGTGTTTCTAACCCTTCTAGATTACAAAAAAAAGAGAAGAAAAAAAGCCTTGCAATGGTCCTATTCATTATTATACTTGGCTTCTCCTCACTTACAAAAAATCAACACGTAATCCTTTGCATTCCTCATTAAGCTTCATTTTTGTCTCTTCGGTTGCTTCCCATCTCATGCAACCTAGCAAACCATAAACTTCCCCCCAACTCAAAACGAAAAAAATTAAAATAAAAAATTTGTCCACGTACAGAAGTAAGCTAAGATAATTGAAGAAAAAGTATAAAATACTAGTATAATATTTTCTAACTCACTTTTACATATTCTTATTACTAGTTAAATTTTATGTGAGTTTCATTTAAAAATAAGCTCAAATTATTTAATAAAATTTACAAAAAAAATTATTCGATGATAAAAATAAATTTAAAAATTTATCAAAAATTTATATGAATAATATTTTTTTTATTGGAAAATTATAACGTACCTAACAAGGACTGGGTTAAGATTTGACGCACTATGATACTTGGCACAACAGGTTGTGATTTTCCGGCTATGACGCGTTTCTTTTGTTGATCAATTAATTATTTATAAAAGCAGCTTCCCAATTTAATTTTCTTTACCTTTTATAAGTTCACAATAGTGTCCAGTTATACTTTATTAACAACGATGGCTTACCAAAAAAATAACGATCAAATATGAAAAATCTTATACTTAAGCTAATATTGTTATATTATTTTTAAAATTAGATGATATCACATTCACTAATTTATATGTAATTATAGATTCTCGTATTTTACTTTCCGCATCTGGCTTTAATACTAGAATCTTGATAATATATCTCTTTATGACACTCCATCCATATTTGAAATATTAACTATTTCTTTACTTAAATATTTATATTTTCTTACCTTATTTAAGTCAAATCAAATCGCTCTGGATGTTTTTTTTTTTATAAATCACATATATTTTTTTGTTAGATCTTAAAAGACCGTATTGCTATACTGAATGGTATACATTTAGAAATAGGTAGTATCTCAATTATCGCTCACCAGCAATAGACTTATAGTCAAGATGTGAGTGTGTGCACAATGTTAGCCGTAATAATAAATAGGTCAAAAAGTATGTATATGAGATCTTTAATCTCTTATTTATAAGGGTTACTTCTAGAATTTATGCAAATCTCCCAGTTAACTTCTTTTCTGTTGAAATAACGACTCTATCTTGAGTAGCTTTACTACATATTGTTAAGATAATTAAATATTTATTCTTTAGTAGATTCATTGATAAGTAGTTAGAATATGATATATATATATACAAACATTTTTTAATGAGGCAATTTCACGATCAAATCTTTAAACCCTCTTAATATCAAAAATAATATCGAGGATGATCGAATATATGTTATTATTCTCACCTGTCTAGCTTTTCGTGCCGATGACAAAAACCCATGTTTTGTTTCCTGTTATCTGTTATTACGAGCTTATTTTTATTTTTATTATTTTGATTTACACCACATTATTATCATTATTATATAAAATTAGCATCTCATTTTTCTTCTTCCTACGTCAATATTAGTTGTGAAGTTTCTTTGATTAGAGAGAGAGAGAAAGACTTGTCTGACACCATTGACGAACACCATTGACGAGCTCCATACATAGCTTTCCCGCGAAATAGACAGAAAACAGAGATTTTTATTTTTTATTTTTCATTTCATTTTATTTTATGAAAAGAACATTCTCTGTTTACATAAGAAAGTCGTTGTCTTCTCTTCTTCGTGTTTGTCTCTGCATCGATTAGTCTTTTTTGTTTATATACTTTTAATGAAAATGAAAATTCGGTTTTGACAAATTCCAATTTTTTCAGCTTCTCCTCAAAAATTTTTGATGTCCCATTTTCTCATGGCACTGTGGCTTCTGGGAAAGTAGCAAAATTTGAAATTGTCACGGTCCATTAAAAAGAGGGGTAATGCGCGTCCACAACAAACGCTTTTCAAGAATCGAAATGCGAGATCTAATCAGAGTCTTTGTTCAAAGCTATTATCTTCTTCGTCTGACACCGTTAGAGAAATTATCAACCATGATGATTTTTCACTCCTTATTATTGTTTTCGTCGAACATTCTGTTCCCAAGCTGATTCTTTGACCGGTTTTCTAGGCTCTTTTGGACGTTGTCTGCTTCTGGGTATTTTGTCTTTTCAACTCACATTTAACGTTGCTTTTTCCTCAACAGTATATAGATTTTCTCGCAGGCTTGAACGTTTCAACTTATTTTGTTTCAACCTGCATCATCATCTTCTGTTATTATACTAGCCTTTTTTTCTTCTTCTTTTTTTATTCAGTTTCGTTGTCATTCCTTGGTTATTGATTACTGGGGCTTTGAGACTTAATTTTCATCTACTGAGTATCTGTGATAAAGGGGTTCTGAGTTTTTTTTTTTTGGGGAGGGGGTTGTGGTTGAAGAGGTTGTGGTGCATTGAGGGTTTTGCACTTGAAACTTGAAAGTGAGCTCCTTTTAAAGTATTCTGAGGTTTCCTTTGAGACTTGAGAAAGTTGTAAGTTTTGGTAATTGTCTGTGGTGGATGCTAGTTTCGGGAAGAGCACTTAGCTTATCTTGGTGTTGCTCTTTCTTGAAATTGGATTAAAAAGGTTGAATTGAGTTGTAGAAGAATGAGGGGTGAGAGGAGAAGGAAGCTGCATCTTAGCAAGATCTACTCATTCGCATGTGGGAAAGCATCTTTTAAGAGAGATCACTCACAGATTGGAGCACGTGGCTATTCCAGGGTTGTGCTCTGCAATGAACCAGAGAGCTTTGATTCTGTGAATAGGAATTATGCAGATAATTCTGTGAGTTCCACAAAGTATACTCCTGCCACTTTCTTGCCCAAGTCACTTTTTGAGCAGTTTAGGAGGGTTGCTAATTTCTATTTTTTGGTAACTGGCATCTTGGCCTTCACAAAGCTTGCTCCTTACGCAGCTGTCAGTGCTATCCTTCCTCTGATTGTTGTTGTTGGGGCAACTATGGTTAAAGAGGGTATTGAAGATTGGCGTCGGAAAAAGCAGGTACTAGATTCTTCCCTTCCACTTTATCCTGTTGTGAGTTTCATTCTATAAAAGTAAATTTCTTGAACCTTTTTGTACTCCACCCTGCAGCACATGTGTGTGGATTCCACATGAATCTGATTGGTCTTCCCTTTTTAAATTTGATGTATATTTTTTGGCAAGTCAAAGTGTCATAAACTCTCTGTTTGTGTGTGTGTGTAGTAATTTTTTTTAAAAAAGTTGTGGTTTTCTTACAAGGTTGAGGAAGTGTTTGGTTATAAAAGGGAATCGATATTTCTATTTTATGGTAGTTTTGTTAAAATTCTGGACAGAAAGAGTATGTCAATTTTCATGACTTATTCTAGCTTTTTTGTTTAGAACCTTGGTATGACTTGTTGTAAAAGGATGTAGTGCATTTACCAAGCGCTTTGTTCATAAATTCCAGTATTTGTTAACCTTATCTCTCAGATTCAAAAATAGAACGTCCAAAATGGATCTATATATTGTTTTTTCTTCTACAATGTTTCCTACATTTAAGTTCTGTGCTAATTTGATTATAATTTTTACCCTTTTTTTTTTTCAAAATATCTCCATGGAATTCAAATAATAAACCACCAGTTATGTATATTAAGAGGAAAAACCTAAACTGGTAATCATTTAGCATTGTCATTTTGATGGCCAAAGAGAGAGGGAAAAAAGGGGGGGAGGGATAAAGGTCTGTTTATTGAAAGCTATCATGTCAGTGTAAATAATTTAGCTAGTGGAATAATGTTGCAGGATAGTGAGGTGAATAATAGAAAAGTTAAAGTGCATAAAGGGCATGGAACTTTCGAATATATTGAATGGAAGAATCTGAAGGTGGGGCATATAGTAAAGATAGCGAAGGACGAATTCTTCCCTGCAGACCTCCTACTGCTTTCATCCAGTTATGAGGATGCAGTCTGCTATGTTGAGACCATGAACTTAGATGGGGAGACAAATTTGAAGTTAAAACAAGGGTTGGAAGCAACTTCTTCCTTACATGAGGACTCTGAGTTCAGTGATTTTAAAGCTACAATCAAATGTGAAGACCCAAATGCAAATCTATATTCATTTGTTGGGAGCATGGAGTTTGAAGAGCAACAATACGCCCTTTCTCCTCAGCAACTTCTTCTAAGAGACTCTAAACTTCGTAATACGGACTACATATTTGGAGCTGTCATCTTCGCTGGTCCTGACACGAAGGTTATTCAAAATTCTACTGATCCCCCTTCAAAGAGAAGCAAAATTGAGCGGAAGATGGATAGAGTTATCTACTTCTTGTTTTGTATTTTATTTCTAATGGCATTTGTTGGATCTATTTTCTTTGGCATTGCAACTAAAGATGACTTGGACAACGGGTTGATGAAAAGATGGTATCTAAGACCAGATGATTCTACAATTTTCTTTGATCCTAAAAGAGCACCTGCTGCTGCTATATTTCATTCTTTGACAGCCTTAATGTTATATGGCTTCTTCATTCCCATCTCATTGTATGTATCAATTGAAATTGTCAAAGTCCTTCAGAGCATCTTCATCAATCAAGATATCCATATGTACTATGAAGAAGCTGACAAACCGGCCTATGCCCGCACTTCAAACTTGAATGAGGAACTTGGCCAAGTCGACACAATACTTTCTGATAAAACTGGAACTCTGACCTGCAACTCAATGGAGTTCATCAAATGTTCCATTGCTGGGGTAGCGTATGGCCGTGGCGTTACAGAGGTTGAAATGGCCATGAATATAAAAAATGGTTCTCCTTTGATAAATGACATCGGGGAATCTCCTGATAGAAATGCACCCATCAAAGGTTTTAACTTTACAGATGAAAGGATAATGAATGGAAACTGGGTTAATGAGCCTGATGCAGATGTTATACGGAATTTTTTCCGCTTGTTGGCAATCTGTCATACAGCCATTCCAGAAGTGGATGAAGACACAGGAAATGTCTCATATGAGGCTGAATCTCCAGATGAAGCAGCATTTGTGATTGCAGCGAGAGAAGTTGGTTTTGAATTCTATAAAAGGACTCAGACTAGTTTATCGATGTATGAATTGGATCCAGTCTCTGGTGACAAAGTTGAAAGGTTAGTTTTTATTTATTGCTCTGTCGGTTTAGTAACTATTGATTTTGACTGCTGCATTTTTCAGTGATAATCAACATGAAATGTTTTAGGATGAAATCTCACTGAGAAAGGCACATGCAATTGCATATTAACTAGTCTCATTATGGCAATAATTAATTTTCAATAAAAAGTAGCAACTTTTACATTTTGCTGCTGCTCTAGTCAATAGCTTATGGCTGCATGGGGATGTGGAGTCTGATATTGATATTTTTCAAGTCCTTCGGATATGACCGACCAACTTGAACAAAGCTGCAATAGAATAGGTGAACTTGTATCCTTGACTTACTTCTATGGTCCCCAAGTCTTGACTAGACCTCCTCTGATGGGATCTAGAGTGTAATTGATGCTCTGATATTGTTTTAAAATATAAATGGTCGAAAAAACTATTTTGGTTTACATGGATAAAAAACTGGTTAAACTTTTGTCCTTGCCACCTTTTCCACTTTGAATATCTATTTATTATTTTGTTATGGTGTTTAGGGATTTCACTTTATACACGATAACTAATGCTTATGTGATAACTTATAACTTTCAAAAGCAGTATCCCTAATTCGGTTATTGTTTATGGTTACTGCTTTTTGGAATTACTTGCTTCAAGTCAAGTAATGCTGAATGCAACAGATGTACACTAACCAATTTCACTTTATACACAATAACTAATGCTTATGTCATAACTTATAACTTTCAAAAGCAGTATTCCTAATTCAGTTATTGTTTATGGTTACTGCTTTTTGGAATTTACCTTCTTCTAGTCAAGTAATGCTGAGTGCATCAGATGTACACTAAGCAATTTCATTTTGCAGGGTGTACAAACTTCTCAATGTTTTAGAATTCAATAGCTCAAGGAAGCGAATGTCAGTGATAGTGAAAGATGAAGAGGGGAGAATTGTGCTACTCTGTAAAGGTGCTGACAGGTTTGTGATAATTGAACCTGTAACTGTAACCTTAGTATTTTGAGTCACTTATCTTTGCATTTGACCCTATTGACATGCCTTATGTCATACTTTCATGCAGTGTCATGTTTGAAAGGCTTGCCAAGGATGGGAGGGAGTTTGAAGAGAAAACCTTGGAACATGTGCATGAATATGCTGATGCAGGTCTAAGGACCCTGATTCTGGCGTACCGTGTACTAGATGAAGAACAATACGAGGAGTTTAATAATAAACTTTCTCAAGCAACAAATTCTGTTACTGAAGATCGGGAAACACTGATTGAGGAAGTATCAGATAAGATTGAGAGGAATCTAATCCTTCTTGGTGCCACTGCTGTAGAAGACAAGCTCCAAAATGGGGTGGGTTAGGAAAAAATTGTTTACATGTGAAAATTTATCAATTTGAACAGGACTTGAAATAATGCTTCTCATTTTCTTTTGCTAGGTACCCAATTGCATTGACAAGCTTGCCCAAGCTGGAATTAAGATCTGGGTTTTGACTGGGGATAAAATGGAGACTGCCATCAATATTGGGTATAATATTGTAATCATTGCTTTTCTACATTGGCTTCAGCATGAGAATTACTTCTCAAGATGTTTGACATCAATATACGATTGCAGTTTTGCTTGTAGTTTGCTTAGACAAGGAATGAAGCAGATTATAATTCAATTGGAGACTCCAGAAATTCGAGCATTGGAGAAGGGCGGAGACAAGACAGCTATTGCCAAGGTAAATTAAATATCAATCTTTAGTCTAGGTCCCCGGAGCATGTTAACAAAATGGTTCTCTTAACTTATTACAATATCGAAATAAGTTCTTCTGACATGGACAGTGACGTGTGTGTGGAATGTGCCTTACATTGCTGATAATTTGAGGTCATATTTTGAGGAATCTTCACTTCTGATTTTGAGAGCAAAGTAGCTTGATAGTCTGGTATTAATAATTCCAGTAAATGCAGTTGCTTGGCATTATTCACTTTTGTTTCAAAAGATGCGAGAAAGATGGTGCATGGATTGTGTTATCTGTTTTTATCCATTTGTTTTTACTCATAAACTTTTGCCTGTGTCAGAAGGGATTGCCTGGTGTGCAAGTATCTTAAAAGCCATTTAGTTAAAAATTAGGGTCCTGATATTTTTATGCTGACTCATGTTTTAGGCTTCAAGGGAAAGTATCCGCCATCAGATATCTGAAGGTGGTCAACAGATTACTGCCTCCAGAGGAACCTCTGAGCAAGCATTTGCTCTAATTATTGATGGAAAATCACTTGCTTATGCTCTAGAGGATAATATGAAGAACATGTTTCTAGAGCTTGCAATTCATTGTGCATCTGTTATCTGCTGCCGCTCGTCCCCAAAGCAGAAGGCACTGGTATGTTTCAATCTATTTGGTGTTTCTTCTCCTCTAGTTGACATCATGTCCTCATTTTTGTTTTAATTCTGATAAGAGTTCTGGTTAGCTTTCAAAATTGATTTTTTTATTGGTTCCTCTCTTTAAGGTCACTAGACTGGTCAAAACTGGAACTGGTAAAACTACTTTAGCTATCGGGGATGGAGCTAATGATGTGGGAATGCTTCAAGAAGCAGATATAGGGATTGGAATCAGTGGCGTGGAGGGAATGCAGGTACTCAGAAAATTGATAAACTATTCATGTTTTGCTCTTTAACTGGTTTCTGCTTTCTTATCTTGTTTTGTTACAACTTTTTTGTTCCTTATCTTCTCTTCCCCCCAGGCTGTTATGTCTAGTGATATTGCAATTGCACAGTTCCGTTATTTGGAGAGATTACTTCTTGTACATGGACATTGGTGTTACCGGAGGATCTCATCAATGGTATTGCCACTCTCTTATATCTGGATCTCAACATTCTATGCATTTACGGGGTATTTTGGAACTTCAAAAAACTAGATGTCTAAGTGCAATGGGCTCATTTTTTAAATATAAGCTGATTAGTAACTACCTAAATTTTTTAAAATTGATTCTTATGGAAACCAATTTTGTGATTCATTAGTTCTTAAAAAAACCATTTTAAAGTTGGTTTTTCGTCTAACTTTTTCCTATTCTTTCTCTTCCTTTTCATTCTCCCTTTGTCTATTCTTCAGCTAGATTTAATGGTGGTTTTTTTTGGTGTGATATAATTTTTAGGGACCACTCGTTCATCTGATGGTCAATAAGCATGTTAAATTTTTTGAATTTAAATGAATTTAAAAATAAATTAGATAAAAACTAATTTAAAACAAATTTTAACCAAACTAAGTTTAAGTTAAGACTAGTTACAAAATAACTTTAAATTTATATGACTAGTTTATCTTAAACAATTCTAAACCAGTTTTAAGAGTTGCCAACTTGCCCCTTAGGCTCTAAAAGATGATCTGAAACCTTTGTTTTGTATTTATACTAACTTGTTCATTCTTTCTTCTGACAGATCTGCTATTTTTTCTACAAGAATATCACATTTGGCTTTACTCTATTCTTATATGAGGTTTATGCATCATTCTCTGGACAGCCTGCTTACAATGACTGGGCTTTGTCGCTCTATAATGTCTTCTTTTCATCACTTCCTGTGGTTGCCCTTGGGGTCTTTGACCAGGATGTCTCAGCTCGGTACTGTCTGAAGGTAATCTTATTGTTCACCTAATAATGGTTATGAAATTAAAATTTTTCACTATTGTCCTGTTATAAACTAGTATGCTGGTTGACGGAACCACAGAGAGAACTCACCAAAAAAGAAAAAGAAAAAAGACTAGACTAACATAACCTTGCAATAATTCATATGATTATGATTACATCATTCCTACATTAGACATTTAGACCTACCTTAACCTGTAGACATAATTGATTTTACTCCCTCATGGCGGCTTTTAGCTGCATCTTGACATTGACAACACTTAAGAAGCCCATTGTAAAGGGTAGCAATACTGTTTAAACACAGCAGTCACTTATAAATAATTACAGCTTAAATAAATCCCCTTTGGCTGTATCTGAACCCTGAAGTAAAATGTAGCAAGCATTGATTTTATTTATCTGGGGTTCCTGGTTTACTTCTCTGATAATCATTCTTTGTTATTTGTGTTTAATGTGGCAGTTTCCGATGTTATATCAAGAAGGTGTTCAAAATGTCCTCTTTAGCTGGCGTCGAATACTCAGCTGGATGCTTAATGGTTTTATGAGTGCCATAATAATTTTCTTCTTCTGCACAAAAGCAATGGAGATTCAGGCCTTTGATGAGGAGGGAAGAACTGCTGGTAGGGATATACTAGGAGCAACAATGTATACTTGCGTGGTTTGGGTTGTAAACTTGCAGATGGCACTTGCTATAAATTACTTCACCTTGATTCAACATATTTTTCTCTGGGGCTCCATTGCTCTCTGGTATCTTTTCCTCCTTGCATATGGAGCAATACCTCCGAGCTTTTCTACAAATGCTTACAAAGTCTTCATTGAAACTCTGGCTCCAGCTCCTTCCTATTGGATTGTGACATTGTTTGTGGTTATCTCAACACTTATACCATACTTCACTTACTCAGCATTGCAAATGCGGTTCTTTCCTATGTATCACGAGATTGTACAATGGATAAGGCATGAAGGGATGACAAATGATCCTGAGTTCTGTGATATGGTGCGGCAGAAATCATTGCGACCGACAACTGTTGGTTCAACAGCTCGCTTAGCTGCTAAGACTAATGACATAAGAGACAGTTCTTCTAACCATAGATAATATATTATATTTTGACACATTCTTGTTTCAACCAGCATATGATGTAGTTTGTGTATAATAGCCTGAAAGTATATTTATTATGGCCCCTCTCAACCAGAAAGGTATGTTGCTTGCATCCACTTTCATGGTAATGGCAACATGGCATGGCGCAAAAAACCAACATTTGGCTGTGAAGTTGATCAGGAGAATAAAATGTTTATCTGGTTTTTTGGCCATTTGAGGCTGTACAGCGTTTAATGTATAGTCTGTTTTTTTTTTGTATCATAGATTATAGCAGTTACTGTGTAGTGTTTATAGCTTGAATTCTTTGTAGGAATATATAACGTTGCTTACTATTATAGAAATCATAACAGAGTTCCCTTGTTCGCTTTTTGAGTAATTCTTTAATTTCACATAATCATATCTTATAAATCCCTGCATTACTCCTTTATGATTTTCTTCATCTTATACATCACTATTTAGCAAAATAATAGAATATGAGAGCTTTTTTTCTAACATTCTATATCAATCTCAATGTTAACGGTTGATAGTAGTTGGATATAAGATCAATTCAAATTCTGCTTTTTTATTTTTTTATTTTATTCGATATCTGTTTTTTAATCCGTGTAAATAAGCTTAATACTAGTTTCCTTTACATTTTGATTAAGAGGAATAATTTTTTTCATATATATTTATAATTCAATTGAGAGAATAATGAATTAAAAAATAATTAAATTGAAAAATGTCTGATTTAAAAAAGAAAAAAGAGTGGGAGAAAAAAAAGAAAACTCACCAAAGTAAAATAATTTCATTGAAAGGGTTCGCATAAATTTGTGTTTTGATTGGAATTGGGATATATTAATATGCGTGAATATGAATTTATGTTTTGTCTTACAGAATATCACAGGTTGAGACAAAAAATGAAAACGAAAATAGGACAAGTCCTCTACGATTCTCAATGTTAATATTTGATAGTAGTTAATGTAAGGTCAATTAAATTTTAACTTTTTGATCCATATAAATAAGCTTAATGCTTAAGAGTTGGGGTGGCAAGTGGCAACATTTTCTTATTCGTTCATTTTAATTTTATCACTTGATTAAGAGATGAATAGCTTTTTTCACTTGCAATTAGATTGAGAGATGAATAAATTAAAAAATAATTATATTAAGAGATGCTGATTTAAAAAAAGAAGAAGAAAAGGATGAAGAAATATAAGAACTTACGAAAATAGAATAATAAGAAAGCAGTATTCCTTTAAATTAAATTTCTTTCTCTTTAATTTCACAATTTAATGTTATAAAATCATTTTTTATGAAACTATTGTATCTAATTATTTCTCAACATTTCACTTAATGCCCTCTAAAATAATTATATAACAAACATTAAATAAAGAGGTAGGATCCTTTGACACCGGTGTCAAATTTGAAATTTGACACCTCATGTAAGAGCCATTAGATCAAAAAAAAAGCAACGGTGTCACATGCTTACAAATCAGAGCCGTTGATTTTTCTTGATCTAATGACTCTTAGATAAGGTGTCAAATTATCCTGCCTCGTAAATAAATATTATTAATTTATGGAAGAAAAGAGATTGAAAAAAACACAACAAAAGATCAACTTCATATCAGAGCCTGGTTTCGATCCAGGGACCTGTGGGTTATGGGCCCACCACGCTTCCGCTGCGCCACTCTGATATTTGTTATGAAGTATACTTAAAATTTAGTCTTAAAAGATTAATATTATCTTTTCACAATCTTCAATATTATACATAATTGTAATTACAATAACGCAACGCAGGTCGATGGTCAGTGCAACCAGAAAAGACTTTATTGAAGAATACCGTTTTGCTGAATGCCGAACCACCTCTTGGCGTTGTCACGGCATCGTTTACCACTCTCTCTCCGTCGTTTTCTCAGTCAATACATTCCCGATGACCAATACGACCCACCGTTTCCCCCCTCTCCAAAGCCCCACAAAGCAAAGGAGGAGGAGGAGAAGAAGCAGAACAAGAAGAAGAAGAAAAAGAACTTCGACAATGGAGCTCCGAATATGAATGGAGACCCGAATCTTCCTCTAAAATCGGACCTTCCATTCGACTTCAAATATTCTTATTCAGAAACCGACCCCTCCGTAAAACCCATCAGCTTCCGCGAATCACCCAAGTTCTCTCCTTTCGGACCGAGCCGGCTCGACCGGAATTGGACCGGGACTTCCGCCCCGGTTCAGCAGGAAGTGGACCGGAAGCGAATGGAAGAGGAGCGGAACCGGGTCGTCGGAGCCCCGCTTGAGGAGGAGGAGGTGGCGGAGCTTGTCGAACGCTACCGTCACAGTGACTGTGCCAGGCAAATCAATTTGGGTATTCCTTAATTCTCTCAATTTTTTTTTATTTATGAGAAAAAAAAAATGAGAGAATTTTGAGAATATTAAATGATTACATTGTGATTCTCTTTCTCAACATTTTTTTATGTATATATGTATGTGTATATACTTGTGTACATTGTTGGTATGCTTGTGTAAATGCTTGAAATTGGGAAGAACAATGTGAACCCCATTTTCTCTTTCTTTTATTTTGTTTTTGTAAGGATTGAGAAATGCCCAATGTTAGATTTTTTACATTTTTGTTGACGGCTTATATGCATGCCTTGTTTTGCTTCATTATTGTTTTTGCATTGCTCCTATTTTTAATTGCTGTCATTTTTAACATATCATTTTGTTCTTGCTTCTATATGGTTTCCCTTGTACCGATTAGGATAAAAGTGATGTTGATGTTGATGTTGATATTGATTGTAATATATGGTTTTGTTATTTAATATAGATGAGTTGTTATCCATGTCTGATGGCAAGAAGCTAATGATGTTTATGTTGTGCTAGGGAAGGGGGGAGTCACTCACAACATGTTGGATGACATCCATAACCATTGGAAGAAGGCTGAAGCTGTGAGGATTAAGTGTTTGGGTGTGCCAACTCTTGACATGGACAATGTTTGCTTCCACCTCGAGGTCAACATTCTTGTTTTTGCATTTTTTTTTTTTCTGCTAAAGGAATGATCTTTCTAATCTAGACTTTCGGATTGCCCTTTTGTTTTGTTCCCTGATGTGTGTGTTGCTGTGTCTGCAGGACAAGACTGGTGGGAAAATTATCTACCGCAACATTAATATACTGCTTCTTTACAGAGGACGAAATTATGATCCCAAGAACCGTCCAGTTATTCCTCTTATGCTGTGGAGGCCTTATGCACCAATATATCCTAGGCTTGTCAAGAATTTAATCGTGGGCTTGACGAATGAGGAAACAAAAGAACTTAGAAACAAGGGATTGAACTCAATTCCTCTAATGAAACTCAGTAAGTGAATCTGTGTAGTAGAGACTTATTACAAAAGATTATCGTTTCGTGACTTTTGTGATAATCCAGTTTAGAGTAGTATTGGATCGTAACATATGTTGAGTTATGATTTCCATGTTCAGCTAGAAATGGTGTTTATGTAAATGTGGTGGAGAGGGTGAGGGAGGCTTTTAAGACTGAGGAGGTTGTGAGACTGGACTGCACCCATGTGGGTTCAAGCGACTGCAAAAAGATTGGAGTGAAGCTAAGGGTAATTGGTGCTATAGAATTATCAAATTCAATGTTTTCTCATCCTTAAAGTTGGAAGATAAAATGTGCAATTGGTGCTTAAGTATTTAATGTTGTTCCTATTAGTGCAGGATTTAGTGCCATGTGTCCCTATCTTGTTCAAGGATGAGCAGATAGTCATCTGGAGAGGAAATCAAAATCAAGAAAAACCTTCGGACCCCCAATGGAGTATTGAAATTAGAGAGTCTACAATGTGAATCAGGAAATTTTTTCCAAGATGCTATACTACTGACATTTTGATTCAGTCTATGATATGCCTGTCTCCCACATGCCAGGAGGATGTCACTTGACTTTAATGCAAATTTATCTTCGTTGTTACTTGAAATTGTAGTATGGGTACCATAATCATTTCCTTGACTAATGAATCTGGCTTAGATGGATTTGTTTATTCAACTTTTGTATCCATTAAATCATTAAGTAAATACTCAAGTCCAGGTAATCTTTCAGGGGAGAAATGCATTGGTTCATGATTGAAATCACTCAAATCAGCTTGCTACCACTCGGGGAAGGCTTTATGACTTTTATAGTTGATGTTCTTTATCCGAGAGTTGATTATTCAATATATTTACAGTGTTAGATTGCAGGATCCTCATGCCAATACGGGTTAGATTGCAGACTATACATTACAGATTTACAGTGTTCTGTAGTAGGCATCCACTATGTACACTGCCTATGATGAAATGTAATACTTCGATTGCTGAATCAACATTCAACATCCCTGACCATGTAAGAGGCTAAGTCCTTGCTTTCCTTGATATTTAATAGTTGTCTAAGGCGCGGAACACGTTAATAAGAAGACAAGAGACCCGTGCTACATGATACAACACAGTACCTTTTCAAAACGATACTTTACTGAAGAAAGGAACCATGACAAGTTGTTGTCGTACACATTTTTAAGGGATCATTCAGTATAAAGGAAGTGAATGCAATCAATAGCTGGGTTGAACAAAAGAATTGTCATTAAATGGATGGGACAATTAAAGTAATATTTTAAAAAAATTATTATATTTATGTTGTAGTTTTGTTTTACCGCAGGCTAAAGCATTACTAAACAAAATCATAAGCGTGAAAAGAAACCAAACAAAATAGTAAAGTGTTGAATTCTGTTGGTGGAAGTGGATTAAAAACATACAATATGCCTTTATTCACCTATTACGTATAATTGCTTTCAAAACTGCATAAACGGGGTAAGACCTCAAAGATAAAATCACAAAAACTGGTTAGTCCGAAATTAATATCCCATTGATGGAGTACAGAACGCCTTAATAGTGGAGCAATCATTTCAAACACAGAACAATCCAAGGCATCTTGGGTAGAAGTTAAGTCATACTTTCTTTATTTATTTATTATTTTTTTTTAATATCAATTCTAATTATCTTTTTAAAGCGAGTCGATCCAGAATATCTCCCCAAACTTCAACTCTTTGAGCCATAATTAATACCAATAGGGAAGTTGTGACTCAAATTAGATAACATTAAAGTGGAAAACATAAATGAACAAATTAGATAACAGTAAGAGTAAAGATAATTAACAGTGTTCTCGACCACTTGAATCTGAACCTATTTGCCAACACCTAAAATTAACATGACTCCCTATTCAATTGAGAATAAAGGGAATTTTATATAGTAGCAGCAATTTTCACACTTCTTTTTTCATTCCTTGGCACAAAACCTCTATTCTTCATACATCTGACAATGTAACATTCAGTTCAACAACAGGGATCAAATTCTGATGATTTGATTTGAACACAGCAGTTCTTTATAAAGGAGCATGTATAAGCAAGAGCCTTTAAGTCGGTAAAATTTGATTTGTGCTTTTGGTCAGGAAGCACGTAAACTGAACAAATGCGTTAGAAAACCACTCAATAAAGAAGTTAAACACAGCAGAACTTGGCATTGTTTAAGAAACACAATCCCCTCAGGAGTAATTGTTTTAACCATAAATCTTGGGGGGATTGAGGTAACAATTCTTGCATTCAAAGTTACAAGAACATGCTTTGCTCAAGGAACTTGATAGTAGACTCTTTACAAAAAAATATGTTTCAACCATTCAATTTCATGCTTAAAATAATTACAAGATTCTACAAATTAAATAACTCAAGAAAGTAACCCTACACACTCTGAATATAGAATTCTCCCATGAAGTAAGATTTATGGACTTGATTCCCTTACCAACATTAAGTGGGGATTGAAGGACCAGGCTCAAGTATTGTGTCCAAAGCTTTACTCCGAATTCCAATACATAAAAAGAATGCTAAAAGTATTGATTGGTTTGTCAAGTCAATTTGACAAACTTCCATATTTCCTGTAGTAGCTCAAAGCATATATTTGGTTAATGACAGTTTCCAGGGTGGCAACAGGAGTGCTAGCTAGGTCCTGAGGGCTGCTCCTAGGTAGGAGAAGAGGCAGCTGGTTATACTATATTCAGCTCCAAACATTCAATTTTATACTTTCATTACTAGGTCATCTCGGAGGGCGAGCCTTGTGATACGGGTTCGAGTTTGGAAACCAGCTTCTTTGCAAAAATATAAGGGTAAAGTTGCATACAATCCACCTTCACTCCTACTTTCGCGAGTCAGGGAATCTTGTACAGTGAGGGTTTTCCCTTAATAGGTCATGTCAAATCTAATTTCCTTCAACACCATGTCCATAAATATCATTTTTTTATATATATATAACCCTAAACCCCAACTAGTTTGGGATAAAGATGTTGATATAGAAAGTCCATATAGTCACATAATTAGTTTGTTTACCTGGTCAGTGGTCACTAGAAATATTTTCATACCATACTTTAAAAAAGAAATAAGAAAAGGTCATATCTCTAAATTGTTACTTATTATCAGTTCAAATATATGTTGCCAATGTTACAACGAAGTCCATTCCCCCACCTTTCAGATTCACAAAAACATATAACTTCTTTTCCTCTCTTGTTAGAAATTCAAGAGATTATGTAAAAGTCATCCCAAGAGCCACACATCTATTTTATCATTATGTTAAATATGTTAATCTTTATCATCATGAGTATAAAGAGTAACTTTTTACAAATTCTAACTACAAAAACAAAATTGCTGCCAAAGAACAGCTAATGAAAAGAAAAATGAAAATTGGTTACAAGAATGAGGGTTTGAACCTGATGCAGTCAATTCCAAAATCAGAAGCAACAACGCACCTCAGCCATATCTACAACCAACAAAACTCAACCAGTAATCTTTTGGTCCAAAATAAACTCTTCCAGTACCTACAGTGCCTTTCATGTATTTAAACTAGCATGGCTAAAAAAGTCCGTGCTATAATTTTGACTCCCAAATGCCATCCTCCGAAATAATCTTATTTCTTCAGATTGCTGCGCAGAATCAAACGCCTCGCTGTCCCCAAGTCGCATTCCATTAGTTAGATCTGAACCTGCTAAGCTGTCAAAAGCTCTAACAACCTGTGAAACATGATAATTCAAGAAAAACAACACTATTAGTTTGTATGTGTTTGCTTGTTGATAATCCAAGCTAACTTTTTGCTGTTTTCCACTATTTACCTGTCCCATGCGAGGTCTCTTTGCAGCTGAATGCCGCACACAAGCAGCAGCAACTTCAATCATGCAAAATAATTCACTTTCAACATAGTTCTTTTCTAGCCTTGGATCTATCAAACTCTCAAAATCCTCAGTATCAAGTGCATTACTCAGCAAAGGTCGAGCCTGAAATAAAAGGTAGCATCTTTAGCTACAAAAGGTTGATGACCTGAGAACATTGAAGAATGATTTAATTGAAGAAGTTTAACTAATACACGTTCAGATTCAGATAGTAGACACCACAGCCATATATAAAACTGGCAATTCAACTACTCGTTTTGATCCTTTTAGTGTGTCTTAACCTTCCCGGGTCAGTGATTCAATTCTCAACAAAGATGTAACAACACCTAATTAATTAGGCCCAAGTTTGTAATTAATCTCATGTCATAAATTTGAGATTTTCACTCAGCTTTATGTGTTTAACAATATGCCATTCAGATATTTCATTCAACAGCAGATACAGCAAAACATGTATGCAATTTGCAAGATGAATTGCAATTATGGCTATAGTGGAGGTTCACAAAATACTAAGCATTTTGTCATCCTTTCCACACACAAGTTACTATGATAATAGATGGAATTTTGAAAGAGAAGAAAAGCATAATCATTCTCAAACACCAGATTAGCAGAAAGATAGCTACAGTAGCAGAAGAATGATCACAGCAAAACTGGCATCTATATATACCCATTCAACTAGACTCTCGTCTCCCAAGGGTTGGGAGTCATCTACTGGCTTCCGTCCGGTAATTAGCTCCAAAAGCACAACTCCAAAAGAATATACATCAGATTTCTCAGTCAATTTTCCACTTGACGCATATTCAGGGGCGACATACCTTTAAGAGGGAAAAAAAGCAATCGATATGATACAGTTTTTTGAATTAAAAGATTACTAGTCTTGGTGCAATAGTAAAAAATGTAAAGAGAAGTTTGTAAATATACTAATGAATACCCACCCAAAAGTTCCCATGACTCGTGTGGTTATATGTGTATTTGCATCAAGAGCTAATTTGGCTAGCCCAAAATCTGAGACCTATAACATGAAAAACAGGAGTACTAAGATTTGGATATAAATAGAACAAACATTATCAAACTATGAATAAGTGTAGTAGTAGATACTCGAGCTTCATAGTTGTAATCCAAAAGAATGTTTGATGACTTGATATCCCTGTGAATAATCCGAGGATTGCCTGAAATGTGCAAAACATTCAACAGCATAAACAACAATACAACATCTAAAGCATTATTCCACTAGATGGGATCAGCTACATGCATCAATCAACACCACTGTGTTCTAACATATATACATGTCATAAAATATCCATATTCGACCCAGTTTCTCATTGGCTGCAGACTCCCTAACACAGCCCTTCTATTTTATCCAGTCTAGTTCATGATGAATTAGATTTTGGTATTTATAGATTAAAAATCTCCATATTTTTTATGTGATTTTCTCCCTCTTTAATGTTCTCCATATACATCTGTGAACATATTAGCTACATTAAAAATATGAGACTTCCCTTTTTCTTGTCATGCACGTTAGGTAAACATACCTTCTTTGATTCACACATCTGCTTGAGGGAGAATTATTGTATTAAATTTCTGTGTCCACTACACTATTGTATTTATAACAATCAAATGGTACCTCGGATCAGCCAATCAAACATTACCAGAGAATGAGTCAAACCTAACTAGAGATTTTATACAAAATACTTTAAGGGGCCGTTTGTTGGAGGGATAAATAGGAAACTCACATTAGGAATGCTAGTTACCCACGTTTGGCCCAAGGATTCTTAAAATTTTCCTAGGAAAATGAGATTCCTGGGAATTAAAGTTGTGAATAAGAATCCTATGAAATAATACCATCAGGTGAGTGGTATTATTGAATTCCCACCTGGTGAAATTTTTTTACATAATTTATAGGACATAAATAGTCCTACTTTAATATTTTCTTGACTAAAATACCCTTTGTTGTTAAAGACGATTTGAGGGTTGAGAACAATTTGGGGTTGCTCTAGTTTGAGAACGAAACTGATTTAATAACGGTCAAATTCGTTTGAAAAATTTGGGTTAAATCTCCAACGTCGCGTTTTGACCATTTTGTGGCATATCAGAATTTTTTTTCAAAAATTCATCAAAGGTTAGTTTTGTAAAATCAGCCCACATTTCCAGGAATCATTGACAATCAACCAAACATAGAATCAGGAAACTTGAGCCAACATTCCTGGGAATGTTTTAGCCTACCAAACAGCTTTTTGGTAACATTATTGGAAAATTCACTTTTCCTGGGAAATTCACTTTACCCACATATTCTCAGGAATCGTGATTGGAACAAAAACATTTCTCCTCCACCAAATGCCCCCTAATAACATCCTTATTTGTCAGAAAAAAACGTATGCATAAAGTCCAATCTCCTAGCCAACAATTCATATCTACAGTCTACACTACTCAGTATCTATGTCCTACAATTCTGTTTCAAATTATAAAAAAAAAAGGAGAACAATGTTTTTCTAGCACCCATCATCAGTTCACTTTAATGCAAATTCCGATTCAGTTTGTTACTAATTCCAAAAATTCGAATTTCCAAAAGGAAAGTGGACTGATAGGCATTCATGTGCATGTCAAGACCCAAGAGTAAAATAAAGGATTGGTGTTTACAGTCTTCATGGAGATAAGCTATTCCTCGAGCTGCACCAGCTGCGATTTTAACACGGTTTGCCCAGTCTAGCACAGGCTGACCTGCCCCTGCAAATTTAAATTTCAGTTTAGCACAATCAAAGTTAATCAAAATATCATGAAACAATCTTTCATAACTCAGAAGTAGTTTTACCATGTAGATGAAAATAAAGGTTATTGTTAGGGACATATTCATAGACAAGTAGTCTTCTGTTATCTTCAATGCAATATCCCGCTAAAGAAACCAAATGGCGATGATGTACGCGGCTAATAATTTCCACTTCAGCTTTGAATTCTCTCTCCCCCTGACCCCCGCCAATTTTCAGCTGTTTGACTGCTATCTCTCTGCCATCAGGTAGGTATCCTTTATATACAGAACCAAATCCACCCTCACCCAAAAAATTTTGACTTGAGAAATTATTTGTGGCCTTGATTAGTTCTTCATATGAAAACCATGACCTTGAGTTGCCTAGTCCACCAGACTCAGATGGTGTATATACAACATCACTGCCAGAGCCACTTTGTACTAGAGGAGCTGAGGAATGTGTCTTAAAATAGGATGAATCTGGACAAAGTTACAAACTTTAATTAATTTGATGGCATGAAATTTGCCAAGGTTTAATTTCTCATGCAGTCTGGAATCATGGGCATGATAAATTAAGAAAGTCATACAAAGTGGTTCAACAAACCTTGACATATGCACCAAAAATAAAGAGAGCTCGGTCATATTAAATTTCAAAAGTACCAAACCACCAAATAAAGAAAGGTGAGACATAAAGACAACCTATGAAAGAAACAACAATGTCAAAGCATTTGCAAGTTTACCTGATTCAGGTGAAGAGGCAAGATTGGATGGTATGACATAACCACCATTAGCAGGCACCTTTTTCTTTTGCCTCCTCATGCACCAAATAGCAACTCCAATGAAGCCAATCAACAGAATTCCAGCCACTATAACACCAATGGCCACTGCACCACCAGTGCCAATTCCACCACTACCTCCAGTTCCAGAGCTTGAGTTATCTGATACATTCTGTGATGGTGGTGGTGGTGGTGAAACAGGTGAGCGTGGAGGAGGCGCCAATTGAATGATAGGGGGAGGTGGCTTTGGTGTAGAATTTGAAGGTGGAGATGGTTGAGAACTAGGTGTGGTAGGAGGACTAATCTTAGGAGGAGGAGAAGGAGGGGTGGATGCTGGTGGTGGTGATGATGATTGTGATGGTGGTGATGCTGATGACCTTGGTGGCGGCACAGCCACCGGCGGTGGGGTTGAATTCACAGGTGGAGTTGAATTATTCACCGGTGGTGATGCATGCGGTGGAATTGAGTTTCTGGGAGGTGGTGCAGACGGTGGCCGTGGAGGCGAAATTCGGGGTGGCGGTGCTGCGGCTGGAGGAGGGGATGAATTATCCGGTGGTGGTGGAGGAGATGGGTTGTTAGGTGGGTTTGATGGCGGTGGAGCTGATGGTGGTGGTGGTGATGGAGAGCTTCTTGGCGGAACCGGTGATTGAGGTGGCGGTAATGGACGTCCCGGAGAAGATGGCGGCGGCGGTTGTTGTGATGGTGGAGGAGCTGATGGTGGGGTTGGAGGGGTAACTACAGGAGGCGGCAATGGAGGTGAGGTTGACAAAGGGGGAGCTGCAAGGCTAGGCGGTGGTGACGGCGGAGGCGGCGACGGCACGGCGGGAGGAGGAGCCGAAGGGGTGGCCGGAGGTGGGGGGGACTGAGATGGTGGTGGGGTTGATGGCGGTGGTGAAGTTGAACTCTTAGGTGTAGGGGAAAAGGATTGTTGCGGTAGTGGGGTGGCGGCGGTTGACGGTGGCAGACTAGTGTCGGAGGAGTTAGTTTGTGGTGGTGGCGCAGCGGTGGAAGATGCCGGAGACGGCGACGCCGCTGACATCTTTAAAACCAATCAAATCCAACTAGAACCTCGCATGTCACGTGCAAATCTTAAACACAAACCGAAGTTGCAAACTTTTAAGATACCATAAATCACAACGTATGGTGCAAGACCAAAACTTTATGTGCCACAGATCAAAGTCTTGGACCTTAAGATTGAAACTTTATAGTTGATGTCAAAAACATCCCCAACCGAAACCAATGTGAAGTGTCAGAACCAAACTAATATTTTCAGCAAAAGAAAACCCGGTTCACTGAAATCTTGTTACAGCATAACCCAAATCACAAAAAGTCTTTTTGATCAATTACCCAGATCACACCAATATCAATATTATGTTTTGAGGACAAAATCCCAGATGAACAAATACAATCACGTGCCAAATTCTGGATCACCAAGTCATTGAAAAATGTTACCTTTATTGTTCCATACAATCCATCTAGATTCTAGTACTGTTTGTCTGATTTTGTTGATACAGACAGAGTTTCAGAATCTTCTATGTGACTACACCTAAATATGATCACACATTATTATTATCGTCAACGTACTCTACTTGTAACATGAAAACCAAAAGGTCCCTTAAACATCAAAATCAAATACCTTAGTTTCCTTTGAATAGTTCTAACACTTCAACGTGATTTTCTGAACCGTAGCTAATATTTCATAAATGAATTTTCCTCCTAGTCTTCTCATGAACACGGTTACACCACGACTTGTGGGGGGGCCCCAAATCCAAAAACCACGCGAAAGCGACTCCGAAGAATGCTACCTCAACCTCAATAATGTAGAAAACTGAAATTTTCAATCAATTTTCCCCCATACTCAGCATATTAGTAATGTTTATATAAATTATTGTGTAAAATCTGATCTGTTTTTCATCAATAAATCTATTTTAGAAGAAATAATAAAAGACCATTTCTGTCTTCTTCCCATTACTCCCTACTATGACGTAAATTCTGTTCAAGCTTGGACATTAAATTATAAGCAAACAATAAATAAAAAGTGTCACGTAACGTAAGTGCGCCGTTCATAGAATTGTCAGCTATTCCATTTTTCTATATATTTATCATAACATCAAAGTATATGGATTTGCCGTGACCAAAGCTCAACAAGGAAAAAAAAAAAAAAATAGATTAATTTAATAGAGATAAAAAAGAAAATGACCCACCACGCACAACCCATTAATGTTGAATTTGTCTTCAAACTGGATGCAGCGTAGGATACTATTATTTATTTTTGCAAGATTTGTTTGATGCTATGAACAAGGAGTATAAAATTATGTAATTATTAATAAAAAGGTCACCATAAGACACCATCAGAAATAATGCTAATTAATGTCATTTGTCATTTCTCATGACCTTTTGGTTCTTTGTTGCAATTTTTTAGTGCATACTATCTAGCTTTGGTTTTTATACACAGCTTTTATGCTTGTAGGGTTATGTAATATTGTAATAATAACTAAATGCTTTTTTTTTTTTTACTAAAATTTAGCACACCAAGTGGGAACTTAAAAATGAACTTATACATGGATGAGCTTAAGAATAAAAGATAAGCTCTAACGTGAATATGTTTTAACCATTAATTAATTTAATGAAGAGAATAAGTGGGAACTTTTTATTATCTTTTTATTTTTTTTCTAAAATTATTTCACATGTGCACTTAAAATTGGTTATAAATACCACCAAATAGTGGATCAATTGGCAAATAATTATTCTAACTTAATTCGTAGTCTCGAGTTTGAATTCTTATATACAGCTATATTAAAATTTAGTAGGAAAAACTTTGTTCTCTTTATAAATAGTTTATAAAAAAAAAATTGCTTATAAATGAATTAGTATCAATTATTGTAAAAATTGATTCAATAACATCTTTCCAGTAAAAAGAAAAATTAATACTGGTTTCAATAGTGGATAGCCTTGAGATTTACATGGAGAAGAAGAAAGTAAATTATGATTAATAAGATCATTGAAGTGAACCAGACTCCAGAGGACGAGGATTTCACATTCAGGTAAAATTAGAACGTGACCCACAGGCCATGTGGGCCAGCTTGTCCCATCAACAATGTTTGGCACCCCGTGAAGATCAAAAGCTGTTGCAATTTAAATAAGGATACCTCTTTTCTCTAGGAAAATTCTTTTTTTTACTATAAATACTATAAATATAAGATGTAAGGGATCCTATCTTCCATTAAAAAAAATAAAAAATTATTGCATATATTTTGATGTATCATTAATAGCAGAAAAAATTCTCCTTTAACATAATAATTGTTTTCCGCTTTAAATAACGGTGAGATTTCTGGTGAAGAGCTTAAGAACATTTGTCACTGAATAGAAACCTTCAAAAGTGTCCTACTTTTTCTTTTCTACTTTTACTTTTTCCATTCTCTTTGATAGTTATATTTCTTTCTTTCTTTTTTTCTTCATTTTGTATTTATATATCTACAAAAAATATTAAAACTGAAAATGCGAAATTAAATCCTCTTACTGTGGATTATATAAGGTTTTTTAATATTTAATAAATTTAAATTTTCATTAAGTATATACCCATGATTATATTTTTATTTTTCAATTATATACAATCTTGAATATAATTTTGGTATAGTTTGTAAGTACAAATATATTTCTTTAGACGCATCTTAAAGAATAAAAAAATATTTTCACTTATTTTAATTATTTAAAATACTATAAGATTTATAAAATTTAAAAGTAGTAAATGATTTTATTTAACTTAATATTTTTATTTTTGTTTCTTGATCTATGCTGCAGGGGTATACATTAATAGAATCTTTATAATATATTATAAACATCTTTTACATAATTTTTCATATATGATTTACTTTTTTACTGACAATGTTATATTATGATAAAAATATAAATAAAATATATTATTATTTGTAAATTTATTAATTTTATTTTATGTTTTTTAACATATTATTATTATTATTATATAAATAAATAATACGCGGATCAAAATATATATATATTTTTTATTTTCAATATGAAGTTTTTTGAAGTATTTTATTGTAAACTTTTTTCAAATAAAATAAAGTAATTTAAACACGTATTGATTTAAAATTTTAAATTAATAGATATACCATACAAGTAAAAAAAAATAAAGAGTCAAAGTAACGATTAATAGTTTATTATTTAGTGGCTGAGGCCTTGCCACCTTTACCCCATATGTAATTGTCGGTGTAAACGATGAAAAAGGTGACCACTGGATGAGGCGCATGTTTATGCCCTTTCCACGGCACAGATTCACTCGCCATATTATATTTATTTATGCACAGTTTAACACGCAGATAACACAAGCATGAGAATTTTAGACCTGAAAAATCAATGGTTGGTGAATAGTGAATGGTGATTGGTGAGAATTGGGATCCTCTAGTTTTAAAAAGAACATTGGAGGATGTTTTGCTTTCAATCCAATTGTTTATGTTTCTTAAATTATATATTTTAACTTTGGGATAGTATCATGTAACAGTAGTGTCAAACCTTTTTAATTTAATTTCACACTTTATCTGAATGGTTGATTTTGATAATAATTTATTAATAATTAATAATTAATTAATGAATATAATATAATAAATTACAATTATTAGATCGACAAAAATCAATAATTTTGATGAAATGTCAAAAAATTTAGTTCGACACCGATATTAAATGATTCTGTACTTTTAACTTTTATCTTAATGTAAAATAAAACATTTTTTTATGGCTGAGATCTCATACAATTTTTTTAAAAAATGTAAAGGATCATGATCCAAATGGTAAGAGAAGGGTGCCCTGCTAATGCGTATAAGAGGGATGAGAAGATAAAGAAAGGTATTGGGGAGAATCTAATCAGAATGGTATCATAATTAGTACTGACTAGGATTAGCAGCTAGCTACTTCAATACCAAGAAAAATGCAAATGGTCATGACAAGGTCATATATTAAATTATTTCAGACCAGGTGCTGAAGTTTAATAGCCAGGGGAATATTTTTTGCCTGTGGCTGAATATATTCTCTTTATATGCATAAGAAGCAATCTAAAAACGCTTGTAAGTTTAAAAAAAAATCAAAAAATATCTTTGTCGAAAGCAAAAATATGACTCGGGTTTGTATATGATTGATTTTTAATTTGATTTTTTATATATCTTAGCAGATTAAATTTAAGATAACTAAATTATACATCCGGAAATGAATCCGTTTAATTGTTAAGAAAAAAAAAATACAAGTTTACTTTTGTTCGTTAGTCGTTATCTTATTTTACAGATGATATAATAATTACAAAGTCTAAAATTCAGATTATATAAGAAATATTGTGTCGACAGTATCTGAAGGAACAGTAACTATTGTGCCACTGTTCCAAGATTTTTTTACCTAAATGTCACGCCTACGGACTTTTTTTTCCAAACTGCCACGTAGGCAAGTTCGCTGGGAGTGGTAGCGAACTAGGCATGCTGATGTGTCAGCTTCCTGATGGTGCTCAAGTTCGCTACTGACAGATGCGAACTCTGCAGCAATAAGTGCTGACACGTAGGACAAGTTCGCTGCTCTACAGAGCGAACTCTGTGTGCCACCTGTCTGACCCGAACGTAGTTCGCTGGGGTCCAAGCGAACTTCTTACCATCTGTCAATTGGCACACAGTTCGCTGAAATGGACAGCGAACTTGGTGCCAAGTGGCAGCCATTGACACAGTCCGCTGGACCCTGTAGCGAACTCTGTGTCACGTGGCAGCTCCCTGAAAGCTCGCTGCATGGGTAAGCGAACTACCTGCCGATAATTACAGTTCGCTGGCCTAGGTAGCGAACTCAGTGCTATTTAAACACTCCTCCCAAACCCACTGTCATTCTCGTCCGTTTTCCTTTAATGTTTCCATCGTTGTTTTTCTTTTTACTATTTCAGTACATAATGAGTGAGAGTAACAACGATGTAATTTGTCTTCTATATTACAATGGGAGAAGATATTTTGGATCGAACGGTCAAGTGTTTGAAGGAGATACGAAGATGTTCCGTATGAGTCCGCGTTGCAAATATACTGAGCTGAAGAAAATAATATACAAGAAGTTGAGATTACAACGAGGTCAATTCCTGTCTCGACTGATTGCTAGATGCGCTTCTGGTAACCCGGTGCAATGGGTTGCTGTGGAGGTGGTGGAGGATGAAGATGTGTCATTAGTAGTTGATGCATTTCGACAGCATGGAGAGTCCTCATGCATCGAGTTGTATGCGGAAGTAAACACCGGTGGAGAGGCAAGCACGCAAAGTTCCGTCCCTACCAGTTACTCCATAGACATTAACAGGGAGCCGCAAGTAACTCCGGATGATATGCATGTCTCACCCCCACCACCATCACCCCCACTAACAATGCCTTTAGATGTGATTCCTGCCAATTACATGTATGATCCCTCGTGGCGTACTAATAGTTCCAAGGAAGAGGTTGATGAAGGTCTAGTCCCTGACAGTGACTCATCGGATGCAGACGTTGATGGTGATTTCGAAATGGAGCCGTCTACTGCATTGTTTGAATCGATTCCATCACCGGGCATTGTTGGTACGTATGACCCACCACTTGCTCCAGGTTAGGTTATTTACCGTTGTTATGTTGTCTTTTTTTGAAATGGTATTAGTAATGAAATGCGAACTTGTGTCAAACAGGGGAGGATAATGTACCATTTTGGTCGCAAATACCACTTTACACGAACATTAACTGGGCACACCCTGATCAAGAAATTGATGACATGCATGGGGCACAAGTACCAAATTGGCAAATGGGTCAAGAGCTCTATAAGGACCAGCAGTTTGAAAGCAAGCAGGATATACAAATGGCAATCAAACAATATTGTATGGCCAATAATCGCACAAATGTCGTGCTAAAAAGTGATACGAAAAGACTGATAATGATTTGTCAAAATCACAAATACGGTTGTCTATGGAGGATGCAAGCATACCTGAAAAAAGGCGGTCATGAATGGATAATAGGCATATGGAACAACATCCATACATGTGTTACTCAAACACTTTCACAGGATCACAAACAACTTAACTCTAATTTCATTTGTTCATTGATCATCGGTAAGTCAACCAGCCTCTATATGTTTCAATAAATACCGTCTTCATAACATTAATGTGTTGTTGTTTGTCAAACCGCAGAAATGATACGTGAAGAGCCTAGCGTAAAAATTGGCTTAATCCAGGAGAGGATTGCATCAAATCTAGGATTTCATATATCATACAGAAAGGCCTGGAAAGCAAAGCAGAAGGCAATTGTGAAGGTTTTTGGGGATTGGGATGAGTCGTACACGTTTTTGCCGAGATGGTTGGATTATATGTTATTGTTTTCTCTAGGGTCTGCTTATAAACTGGACGTGAATGAACATAGGATTGATGGTCGCCTCGATGGATCGCACAAGGTGTTCAAAAGGGTTTTTTGGACATTCAAATAGGGGTGGCAATTCGTGTCAACCCGACCCGACCCGAATTTTACACGACACGAAAAACCTCAACCCGAACACGACCCGATTAATTATTCGTGTCAAAATTCTCAACCCGGACACGACCCGCTTATTTTACGGGTTGACACGACACGACACGAGTAACCTTATAATATAACCATGACCCATTATTACACATGTTAACACGACTCGACCCGACCCGATCTGACACGAGTTTTAGAATGCTCACATTCAAAACCTGTATTTAGGCACTGATTTTACATCCAATAAAAGCATATACATCCAATAAAGCCACTGCTGAGTGAAAAGGGTTGTTTGAAACCCTAAGTTTATGTTATTTTTTTTATACCACTCCCTAAAATGACTATAATAACCTTATACAAAAATTATTTGCGGGTCAGAGCGGGTTAACGGGTTGACCCGAACCCGACACGAATTTTTTCGTGTCATTTTTCTTCAACCCGAACACGACCCGAACAGTAAACGAGTTGACCCAAACACGAAAATTTCGTGTCGAGTCCGGGTCGGGTTAGCGGGTCGTGTCAGAAATTTCCACCCCTACATTCAAATAGTGTTGTGATGCATTTAATTATTGTAAGCCTATGCTCCAAATCGATGGGACACATTTGTATGGAAAATATCGCGGAACCCTATTGATTGCTACAGCCGTTGACGATAACAATTTTGTCTTGCCTGTTGCTTTTGCTATTGTTAATTGTGAAAATATTGAAAACTGGTCCTGCATGTGACTCAGAAAGATGGAATATGTCTTGTGTTTGATCGACATATCAGTATATTGACTGTTGTCAATAATGTTGACCTAGGGTGGCAACCACCCAAAGCTTACCATGTTTTTTTCTTGAGACATGTGGCAAGTAATTTTAATCATAAGTTCAAAAATATGATGTTGAAGAAGCAGTTAAAGAAGTTAGGTATGGTTCTTGCTCTATGTTTGCTATTTGTTTCCAATTGCTTGTGTGTATATTACTAATTTAATGTTATTTCCAATTATGTGTTGTGATGCGAAGGTTATACTACATCGCGATTGGACTTTGACGCTGGTTTGGAAAAATTTAAAGAATCTAACCCTTAAATTGCAATATGGATTGATCGAATTCCGAAGGAAAAATGGAGTATATCTTACAATGCAGAAGGAAGACGATTTGGCCACATGACTACAAACTTGTCTGAGTGTGTTAACAAGGTTCTTAAAGGTGCCAGAAACCTACCAATGATCGTGTGACGCAACGTGTCTGACATTGAGGACACGATCACGTGCATTTGCGTCATCTGATGCGTTCCACACATGCGTGGAGATGTGTTTGTCCTGCAATGTCAGGAGAGAACGCATGGATGGACCAGGGTCAATGAAAGTCTGGTGCGGGTCCTGCTGCTCCATTGATCTATTTACAAAAAATAAATAATTACTAAGAAATGAATAAATATTCAACATTATTTAATTATTCTATAATCCATATATAATTAAATATTACATACTAAATAATAAATAATAACAACATTAATATACTTAGCACAATTAATAACACTAGTAATGACATACTAAAATTTGGATAATAATGCATACTCAATAAATAATATAACACAAATAATATTCTACAATGGTATTTTCAAACCTATAACAAAATAATGTTATTTGATTATTAGTAACAACAATTGCATAATAAAAATTATAAAATACAATGATTGAACAAGATTAATTGTGTAACACAAAGATTATATAATATATTAAATTATAAAATACAATAATATCCAAATTGTTATACAAAAATTAAATAATATATAAAAATTAAATACTAATTACTAAGAAATAAATAAATCAATATTGTTATTTAATATAATATATTATATTTAAATTATATTATATTTAAAAAATAAATACTTGCATACAAAGAAATATATTATATTATACAAAAATTATATAATAGCTAAACATAAATACTAATTACTAATAAATAAATAAATAGAAACATTATTGTCAAAAAATTTCTAACCTATTTTTCAATCCTATAACTAAATAATGTTAATTAATTCAAATATATTAATTATTGCATAATCAAGAATTTATTAAATACAAAATCTAACAACATTAAAATAAATTTTCTAACCTAGATTTCAACCCTATAAATAATATCAAACAATTAATATTATTAAATAATACATTAATATAAATTACTACTCCTAATAAGATTATCATACATATTATAAGCCAATGTCAAAATTTTCTAACCTAATTTTCAATCTTAGAACTAAATAATTTTATTTAATTCAATATTATTTTTTATTGCATAATTAACAAATTATTAAATACAAAATACAACAACATTAATTTAAAAATATCTAACCTAAATCCTTTAAATAAATAATGCATATAAAAAAAGTTATTAAATAGATTAATTACATTATAAAATATTTAACTACTAACATTAACATGCAATTAATTACTAAACTACTAATATTAAACTAATTAAAATAATAAAACAAATAATATGTCATCTAACCTAATGTTTCATCCTATATATAATATAATTAACAAATATTAAATAACAATAAAAAACTGTAAAAAAAATTAATGAAATCATAAATGACTAACCTCAAATGAAGAAAAAGAATGGAAATGAGAGAAAAAGAAAATTAAGAAAGGAGGAAAGTGAGAGAAAAAAAATGAGAGAGAGAGGGGGGGTATATAGGGCTGTGAAAAATAGCCGTTACACTAAGTTCGTTGCCCCAGCGAACTTGGTGCATATCACCCACGTGGCATTCTAGCCGTTACACAGAGTTCGCTGATGTGGCCAGCGACCTTCCTTCCATGCAAGCCACGTGGCCTGACAGGTGAGATATTAATTGCTACGGAGATCGTTGGTGACTGTAGCGATCTACGTGTCCACCAGAAACGTGACACATCATCACACAAAATTTGCTACGAGCCTTGGCGAACTTGCCCTCGTGACATTTAAGTATATTTTACTGTTGATGTGATATTTAAAAAAATTAGTTATGGAACGGTGACAGTTTGGTCAATCTGAACGTAAGCTATACGCCTATACCTACATTGACATAGTCTGAGTACCCAACCCTTTTCCAAGTAAAACACTATTATAACGAGAGAGAAAAAATTCAACCCAAATCAAATCAAAATTCTCACGAACAACTTTTTGCATGAGAAACGTACACACTGGACAAAATAATATATGCAGGTTTTATTAATAAAAAATAAATTTAAATTATTTAATTAATAAAATAAAATAAAAATTATAATTCGAGCAATTTCCTGAGGAGAAAGGATTAGAATTCATCGTCTTATGCCACAAGCGCTGCAACACCGCTATTTCTTAAAAACGTTTAATAGATGATAAATTTTTCTTTTATTCTGGAATCACTATTTTCAAAAATCTGATGAGAAAATGAGTTTTCTAAAAATGTTATCAAACAATTATTTGATAGACTAACGTATTTCTGAGAATATTAAGTTAATTTTCTTAATGCTATATTTAGTTGTATTAAATTTTCTCTTGCCATAGAAATTCTAGAATACCACCTCCTGAATTATATTCTTGGATGATTTTTTCAAAAAACTTTACACACAAAATAAAATCTCGAAAAAATCAGATTCACGAAAAAAATTTAAAAATATTATACCAAACGTAGGTAAATAAGATTACCACTTTCAATTTTTCGAAAATCCTAAAAAATCCCTTGTACCAAACGCTCCCTAAATTTAGCTGGTGTTCTGAATTACTCTATTGTTACTTCTGTTTAGTAATTTTCTTTTTCTTTTTTCCACTCTGCGAAAAAAAAGAAGTAAAAATCAATAGGATCCAATAATTACAACTTCCAACTCTTTCTTAGAGAACAAATTACAAGAAGTATAGTATTTGCCGAAATATATGATAGTAATTTACACTACATTGTTAACAAAAAAAAAAAAGAATAAAAAGGAAAAGCTAAGTTTAAATGAATCCAAAAAAAGAGGGGGGAAAATAACTTATTACTTATAAGGCAGGGACAACAGAAAGATATCATCCCAAATAATGTCAACTCCAGAACCCTGTTATGCATCAAAGAGTGTTTATTGGTTGGTAGTTGAGTTAGCCATTGTGTCATTCTAACCAACCACAATCACTCAAGCTACGATGGCACCACTTGTTAGCCACTATATCAACTCATCCTATTTGCTGATAAAGATTTTCTTCTTGAAATGATCTCAGCTGCCCAATTTTTTCCTATTTCAGTTTGAAACTTCCCTGAAGACCAAATAAAAGATGAAGTGGTTGACACAGGTTCAAATAAAGATATGATCATTCATTTATGAGAAGAGAAAAAAAAAAGGGTTTCATCTCTACCTGCAGTTGAAAGGAAAAATTCATCCAACACTTTTCCATGTTCTGCCACAAGGTACAATATCATTTGAGATACTTAGCATTATAAAGCATATAATGAATAGTATTCAGTAAAAGTAGTATTGACTTTAGGAAGAACTATCAACTTGTCAAAAAGCTTGAGAAGTTCAACTGTTTTAAGAATTCCAAACTTAAGGTGGTATCATGGTATGAATTCAAAGGCCACATGCAAATGTATCCATCTATAACTTACCCATTTCATATTCCAGCGCTTGTAGAATCATTTCAACCTGATCAGAATTTAGAGGAGCAAGGCAATGCAATTAGAAAGCAACCACAAGATCAAGATATTACAGTTCCATGTTATGATAACAAAAAAAATAATGGGCAAATTACACTTTTTTTTGTGAAATTTTTGTCTCAATAAATTTATCACAAAAAAGTTTCCTTCTCATGTTTCAAAAACATGTACTTTACTCCCTTGAACGTCTTGAAGATTAAAAAACACTGGGATATTAAAAAACTGATCATGTAGAGGTCATTTGTAATGTCAATGAAATCTTTTTTGCCAAAACTTTGCCAATAGAGTACATAGCCTTTTTTTGTGCTCTGTAATTTATTTTATACAACCGGTATTCAGACCATTTCCCACTTTTTTTTGTATTGTTTATGCATGGAACTTACCATTCTCCTAGTCTCCTACCAATTCACTTCAAAAGACAAATCTAAATAAAAACCCACTCCCCATTAAACCCCGACTAGCGAGATTGGGGTAAGAGCAATCCTTGTACGCAACCTTACCCTTGCATATTTGCAAAGAGGCTGTTTTCCGGAACTGCAACCGACAACTTGGGTCTTTCCAAGTAAACATGTCCAAAACCAAACCCATGTACTAACATCCCCTCTTTCAGAAACATCTAAGATGATAGATTTCCTTGGTCTAGATAACAGGATGATAACAAGATCTAAAATTCAAAATTCATAACCAAAATAGTTATGGAAAAAATTAAAATTTATAACAATCAGCCCTAGGTTAGGCTATCCTAAGCTCATAAGAAAAATCAAATTCAGTTCAAGAGAGCATCCACAGAATTATCATCGGGTTTAGCTCCACAACTGTTATCTATGAAGCACATACACTTCAAAAAACCTAAAGAGTCGGTGTCGGATATCCCGACACGATCCGACATGCTGCGACACATGGTCAACATTTCCAACACGTTGATAGATCCAGCATGCAAATTTGTTTGTGTCCGACACGGTCAAATGTCATTTTTGTAATAAAATTATAATTTAAAAAAAACTAAAATACATTAATAAAATTATGATTTTGAAAAAGTTAAAATACATTTAATAAAAACTTAAAAAAATGTTTATCAAAAAAAAAAAAAAAACTTAAAAAAGTGTTAATCACTTAATCTAGATGAAAATGCTCCATGAATATAGTCTACATAATTTATGGTTTTCTATGGATATTTCAAATAGAAGATTAAAAAAATAGAATATTAATAAAATAGAACAAAATTGGAATAAAAATATATAATTTTATTACACATATTAATATTGTACATATATTATAATTATATATATATACAATCAAATACAATAATAAAAAATGCGAATTCAAAAAAAGAAAAAATATAGTGAATTTTATTAAAGAACAAAATGTTTGTTATGCTTAATATCTTTAATTTTGTCTGTATTTGTATTCACCCTACTCTTTATCCAAGTAGTTTGTTCTTGGCTAAATTACCCGAAGCCTACACTTTTTTGAATCCAGTTGTAGATATTATGCCAGCAATACCCTTACTCTTTTTTCTCTTAGCTTTTGTTTGGCAAGCTGCTGTAAGTTTTCGATGAGATTGTTAGATTTATTAATTTAAATAATGTCCTGGACAGCCTGAAAAATAGACATCCACCGGATTTAAATAGCGCCATTGCAACACCCATCAAAGGTGTAGTCCCCCACCCCGGAGCGACTTTACCATATTCTGAATTCAAAGGTTTTAATAAATCTCCTACAACAGTTTGTCTTGGACCATAATTTATGGTTTTCTATGGATATTCTACTCTTTTTGCTTTATATTAACGTATCAGAATTGTGGAAATGATTTATTTTCTTTGAATCTTTTTTAGTTAAATTGATGAATATTATCAGTTTTGTTTCATTTGTTTGTTAAGTTATTAAATATAAAATTGACGTGTTTGTTAAGTTATTAAATTCATTTGTTTGTTAGGTTATTAAATTGATGGATATTATCAGTTTTGTTTCATTGGGTGTGCCCTTATATATTAAAATGTGTCCGAATATGTTGAAATGAATTGACGTGTCGGAATGTCGTACAGTTTCATGTCGTGTGCTAGTGTCTTTCATCTCCTTCTTCAATATTAAGAAGTGACTTTGGGCCATATATTGTTAGTTTGGTCTTGAGTTAGCCTTTTTGGCTTTGATTAAAGTGGAAATTTCATAGGTCTCACTACTTTTTGGGATCCCTAGCGAACCATTGCGTGTGCCCTTATATATTGAAGCAGTTTCTGATGGTTTGCTATAAAGGTTATGGTAAAAACAAAGCCCAAAATTTTATGGGTCTTTGGTGCATTTGGCTTTGGAGTGAATTGCCAGCATCTTTAAATGGGTAGGATTATGTTCATGCGTTCGTTTTGGTGATGGCAGTTTTAAGAGAGCTGCCCTTTCTGACCAGCAGAGAGAAGGGGCCTACTTACATGTTTTTATTTTCTCAATTTTGTTCTTCTATTTTTTTTTTTACATCTTCAAGCATACCTTACCTACTTCATAGTTGATATTTCTACTTTCCTTCTGTCTCTAAAAACCCAAGAAAAAAAGGAACAAGAACTTCAATACATCTATTGCCCCCCTCCTTGTTTTCCTGTTGCCAATATTTAGTTTTTCTAAATCTAACTTTTCTGCTACTGCCAAATAGTCGACAACCTAAGAGACATGTTAATTTTAGTTACAATATCCATGCTCACACATGAAAGTTCCCTCTGTATCAGGTAGCACATGTGTACCTTGTCAAAATCTTTAACAAGATTAGCCTCCAAAGAAGAATTGTTTTCATATTCCGACCACAGTTCTTTGATCTCTTCAGCTGCAAATAAAAAAAAAAAAAGTGACCACAAGTGAATTTGATGCCAAATTTGGAAACTCCGTGAAAATAATTTGCAATACCTCTCATCCCTCCACCAAGAACTTCACACATTTTATTCAAAGCTTCCTGCTCCATTCTGCTCTTCTCAGCCTTGGGCACACCATCAGATGGTGTTATGTCTCCTACAATAGCTATTGAAAGCAAAACCAAAATCAGACTTCAATATATATTATAAATTAGCAATATATCAAAGAAGACTTGATGCCTCAGCCAATTTCCTTTTTATCTTTCTCTTAGAAATATAAAGGGCAAACCCCGGAGCACTTTCTCTTAGAAATATACTCGAGGAAAAACAATGTGTCCAGTGTCCACAATCACATAAGACTAAGTCACAATTTGGGGAAGAAAGTCAAATAATCCAACACTCGTTTATGGATTTTTGCCTTCTTTATACATGTTATAAACTCTAACTTCCACTGAATAACAAAAATTAATACAATCAGTTTTTGGAAATGTTTATCTAATTATTCCAGTTGGATATTTTAGCATATTCAATCATTTAATAGGCGGAGTCAATATGAAGTAATGATTACCTAGCAACGTTCATTCAACATGATGTTATTAATCCACTGATTATCATTAAGGTAGAGAACTGAATTGTACAAAATTGACAAAGCCTTGGAAGTGTTCTGCCTGGCAGAACAGGACGGTCACATAATATAAAATGAACACACATCCTCTATAATTTATGCTACAGAGCCCTGTGAAAACTATCAATTATTGCAGCTTTCAAGGACATGACTTACCAGCCAGTTATTTTGATGAAATTTGAAAATTTTGGTTTTGACTCAGTACAACAGATAGCAAATCATCTAAAATTTGATGCTTAAGATTTAATATAAGTAACTGCAGAAAAAATTCTTTCAGCGGGAATAAGACAGATACCTTCTGCAATATCATGCACGAGGGCTATTTTAATACATCTGCACAGCAGGAAACATGAGTTTAAAAGAAACTCAAGGGGATTACCTAAAACAAATCCGGTAAATATAAGTAACAGGAGCAGGGGCAAGTAAACAAAGTAAATTACTCCAACAAAGATAATATATGGAGATAAGGAAGTTTGGGACCAAAATCAGTGAGCTGAGATATAAATATACTGACTCACACTATTAGACAGATAATATTCACAAGGTCAAAAAATTGTGTTATTTTGGCTAACGACCATAGTGCATAAATTATATACTCTGATACAATCTAGACTGAGTACAGATTTACAAATCTCACGGACAAAGAAATATCTCGCTAATCTGTGACAACAACAATTACCTAGCTAGCAACTTTGCAACAATGATTAGAGGAGCTAGCTTGAACAAGATTTTTGAAACAGGCAATTTACTGTCCAGTCACAATTAATGCCAGATAGAAGTGAAGTGCCACGCTTTTTTTTTCCTTTTTTTTTTTTAAATAAAAAGCAGGAAGCAGTGAAATTAAGCTCAAGAATGGACCAGAAGTGGAAAGATGTGGCCCTTACCTAAGTCAATGTCTCTAGCTGCAAGAGTTATTTCTATTTTCAAGTTGTTCTTTCTAAGAAACACATGACCCAAAGTCACCTCCCTACCCACCATGAAAAAAGATTATTTATTGCAGGATGTGCAATATAAGCCTGAAAACAAGCTCATAAGGTTCAAGTGTTATTAGTAGCTACAACTGTTCCCAAGATTGGATAAGTGCAAGAAACCTTTTAGTCTTTATTGATTTTCTAAAATTATATCTAAAATATGCTAATATAGTAAACCATATACCAAACTGCATATCACAAATTGTGTAGAACAGAAAGATAGTAGTGGAAAATAGAAAGGCCACAACTATGTAACACCATACACTCCAATAAAACCTTTCAACTCACGCCAAAAAGGTCACATGATCCAAGCAATGTGATCTCAATATCCAACCAAAGTCAATAATACAGTAGGATCAATGTACTCTATTTTAACAGTTTCACTTAATCATGGAATCTAAGGATGCATCTCAAAATATAACAATCCAAGGGACTGAGACCAAACAGATATAAGCATCATACAAATTCAAATAAAAAAAGAAATTCAATGTGAAACCTTTCTCTATTCAATCCAGGAACATCGCCAGCAATTAACGCCATTAAAGCCATGCGATACATATGGTCAGCAATTGATTCAGCACCTTTTATCCCATGATTAACCCATCCTTTCCTTTTTGTGGTCTACAAGGCACATATGTATGGCAAGAAGAGAGTATATTATTATTCAATCAGAGTTGAAGAACCAGTCTACATCCACAATTTGTCAATTCATATTGCAGCATCATTTTCTTTCAATATGAATAACAAACCTAATTATAAACAGTCTACACAGTAACCAGATACAAAAGTATAGTAAGAATGAATGGCAAAAACTCTCAAGCTTCGAAAGCCAGCACATTCATGAAGATATGTATTGAGTCAGCGTATGTAAACGAAATTGGTAACAAACAGTTCCCCAGGATAATCACTCTCTTCTTAATTTATGGGGTTTTAGCAAAAAGACATCTGCCCCATTTCTCAGGCATGCTGATTAACGAATATGGAAAAAGTCTACAATGGAAAGTTGGAATGAATGTGCAAATAGACTAGTCAGTCAGATGCTAAGGTAGGAACAGTAGTGGACGCCCAGTCGGCTTTTCCTCTCCCTTAAGAAAATTTCATCTCACTTGAAATTTATAGAGGAAACAAATTGTTCTGGCCAGTCCACATAGGCCCAGTAAGATGGGCACAATAAGGGTCTAGCCCATAGCACCCCACAGGTGAGCTCATAGACCTCACCTTAGGGAATTCCCCTCTTCCTACACAACTCACCACCGTACACACCGTGGTGAGGCAGTGCCTCACTGCAAGAGTGAGGCCTGAGCTAACGGTTTTTGGCTCATTTTCTCTCTCTCTCTTCATTAGGGAATATTTTCCCACCTATATAAATTCTTCTTCTCCCATAGAAGTGGTACCCAATATTACACATTTTTATAAGCTATTATTCTGTGGGATTTTAGAACCACCGCGACCGTCACAACCCCCCAATTCACAGCCTCCTTTGTGACTGTTTACGGTGACTCTCTTTAAGCTTTGGTCTATGTCACTGCCTCCTTGAGCACCCATACTTTGAGATACCATGCCCCTTGAGGGATACAGACCTAGTTCTTATTCCGCAACAGTTCACAAATGTTGCTGTAATTGAATATCTGACAGAGAGACTTTCCAACCTCTCAAGTTTGTTCTCCTTCACCTTTTTCAACCTTCATGCTTATAATCCAATTAGCTGTAGCCAAAAATCCCCCTCCTCTTCATGTATGATATTACAAATTAACATTGCATAAACCTTCCCTGACAGAAGCAGGTTTTTCCTTTGCTTTTAAACCAATAGAAAAGTTAACTAACCTATCCAACAGAGGCAGCCACCAAGAAATATCATCATATCTTTGATCACATTTTCCTCTCACAGGTTTCAATAACCACCAGAATCGTAGTTCTTTTTTTTTTACTCTCTTTTTTGTCATAAAAAATATCAAACTTTCAATACAAAAAAGAAAGAAAGATCAAATTGGGAATTTTAGGATCCCAATTCGAACCTTAAAAAGTACCAAACTTTCAATACAAGAAAAAAGAGAGATGAAGAAAAGGTGAGTGCTTTAGCGTTTGTACCTTGAGCCGGTGGCAGAGAGTAAGAAAATCAATCACAGACGAAGACGAAGACGAAGTGGAGAACCCAATGGAGGTATGAGAGTGTTCCAAGCCGAACCGTCTCTTTTGTGAACCCAACTCCTCCGAACCGGGTGCGTGGGACCGAACCGAGACGAGCCTCAGGGTCGGAGTTTGGTGGAAGAAGATGGGTCTGGAAGTGGGTGCGAGAATGGAGCGAAAAGGTAAAGAGCGATGCAGAGATGGCACGCAACAACGAGCTGGTGAATTAATCGCCATTTTTTTTGTAATTTTTTGCTTTTCTAAATTTTGATATTATATTGATCAATGAAGAGAGAAAGAGAGGAGGAGGATGGAGAATTGAAGGCAACGACAGAAATGAGGACAGTGTTGTTGTGTGTTTGGTCTCGTATGTTGTTTGTTGCTATGATGTTTGATGATTAGTTTAAGATGGATCCCTTATTTTTTGCGGGTTCACCTGTGGTCCCGTTGCGAGTCGTTGAATATACATGATATATAACGGATCCCTTACAATTCACTTTAAATCCAAACAGGATGGAAAGAAAGAATTCAACGGGAATCAATTATCTTATGCTTACCTAACTTCATATTTATATAATGGAAAATATGGGAATATGACTCTGATTAGTTCTCTCACACTACAAAGAAAAGTTAATACGGACCTACTATTAAAAAAAGCAAAGAAAAATGGAATTTTTTAAGTAAGAGAACATGTAAAATGAAAATAGTATTTGTCATATAAATTATGAGTTAATCTTTTTTCATTTTACATGAAAGAAAAAGAATTCATTCACAAACATATGATGGGATCCACCAATTTTTCTCATTTTATTTTGTGTGTAGAAAAAAAATTTCTCTTATATAACATGAAAAAAATTAACCTATAAATTAAAGGGTTATTGATTTCTCATGTTATAAGAGAAGATTTTCTTCTACTGCATATACACAACCAAACTGAGGTCCACTGCATAAAGGCAAGCATTGTTGTCAAAAACTAGTGTGAAAACGTAAAAATTTACGTTTTTACTAGAGTGATGCGTGTTAAAACTCAAGTAAAAACTGTTATTGATAAAAACTGGTAGAAACGCTGCGTAAAAAATTAAAAATAGTAAAAACTTACGTTTTTACTTAAAACTAAAAATTAACAACTTTTTTTTTTTTTTTTTTTTTTGATAACAAAATTTTTTTTTTTTAAAAAAACTAAGTTTTGTTTTTTACAAATCATATTCACAGTATTTTAATATCTTTTTATTTAGATATATATTTTTTATAATTATTTCTTATAAAGCTGTAATTCTATTATAAGTTATGCTATGAGAATCGTTTTGTGTTTTTGGATCATTGTGTGCATTGAAAGAAGTGGAATTATATCATTTTTTGTTTTTGGATCATTTTGTCTTTTTAATATCGGTTTGGAATTTTTTTCAAATCTGATCCGATCCAATCCAATCTTTTTCGGTTTGGATTGGATCGGTTTTCGGTTTTTTGAAAATCCTAAAATTTGTTTTATGATTTTTGTACAAATAACATTTTTTGTATATATTGGCTTTGTAATTTTTTTTTTAAATACAAAAGCATCAGTAAATAATAATATAGTTTTTTTTGGACAATGAGATATGAAGCTCTAGATAGATGAAATTTTGTTGATGAGATGTGATTAGATTTTTTCTTAGATTTAATTAATGGATTTTGAGTTTAGAAATTTGTGGCCTATGATTGGGAAAAGATCTAAGTAGGTATAGGGAAATTAATATATTGGATTGGATCGATTTTCATTTACCAATCCGAAAACCGATCTAATCCAATTAAAATTTGCGATTTTTTTTTCGGTTTTTGGTTTTTCGATTTATTCGGTTATCGATTTTTCGGTTTGGTTATTGCAGTTTGAATCGGTTGATGAGCACCTCCTAGAGATTGGACGTGAAATCATATTTATAATTAACAACTTTAGAAAAGTTTTTTTAAAAAATAATTTAAATATTTTATAGTTAAAAATTATCATAATGTGTGTATTATACTAAATGAATAATAAGTGTGTCGAATTTAACAGATCAACTCTCTAAGGGGGCATTTGGTTGAGGAAATTTTTTTGGAATAGTAGGGAAATGTAATAGATAGAGAAATGATCGGAAAGATAGATAAAGTGAGATAGGTACAAAAATGTAAAAAAAAGTTGTTTGGTGGGGAAAAACTTTACTGGGAAAATTAGGTAACTTTATGAAATCAACAGTGTATTAAAAGCCAGATAACCGGTTTTCCGAAAAATCCCACCTTCAAATTGGGTTTCTAAACAGTGCGGATATCTATGTTTCTCATAAATCCATACAAATTGGATAGATAGATTTTTGGTGAAAATACGTTGAAACAAACATGGTATTTCTAAAAGCCATACTTAAAAAACATAGATATCCGCTGAAAAGCTCCCAACCAAACACCACCTAAAGCCTTTCTCACACTCGTTGGCTTCCCGTCACACATGGTGAAGAGAGACACTCCATATCATGCAAAGCCCAACTCTTAATTCTGTTCGCTAGATGAGGAAGGTTACAATTTAATCCGGAAAAGAGTCTTTTCTTATCAAGGAACATGGACCTTAAAGTCGCTTTACACCTACTCGTTCAAGGGCCACAACCAAGGCCTTACACCACTTCGTGGAACATGGCTAAACACAAAGACCATGAATGAGCTACGAGCCAAATTGGAGAAATATATTAATCTCCAATAATATTTCGAGAGAGCGAAGAGGGAAACAACAAACCCAATAGAAGAACAAAATGGTTAATGCCACCAAAGGAAGATACGAAGAGTTTACTTCCCGAAATGATAAGTAGAAACATTGCAAGTTCCATGAAGCGGTATAGGCATAACAGAGAGGAGTACATTTACTTGAGAGTCACATTGAAAACCTAGTCTTGGATAGACACTTGAGCACACCGTGAAGCTCAAAATTCTGAAAATATAAATGATGAAGTTCGCAAGCACGACCCCCACCCTATAACAAGAAAAGAACTTCACCAAAGAGCGAACCCTAAAAAGAAAAATCCTCCATTGTGGACAAATAATTATAGGAATGACCACAGAGTGACAGAGCCACGTTGAGACCAATTGAGGCCTTGACACTGGTTGATTTCAAAAAATGATACAGTTTTTCTTTAAAACCATAATCAATGGCTAAGTTTTAAAAAATGGTATAGTCTTGACACTAATTGGATTTTATCTAATTGGATTTTTTTACACGAGTTAATATTATTTCTCATTTCGCCACTAAATCACATCCGTAGGAATTAGGGATGTGCATGGGTCAGGTCAGGTCAATTTTTGTGCCGATCTGACTCAATTTGGTTTTTATAAGTCAGGTATTTTGACTCAACCCGATTTAATTTGATCCAAGTTAGGTTTAACATAGTTTGAATTTTTTGGAACTAGTTCAGAAACGGGTCGGATCTAACCTGACTTGGTTTCTAAAGTGAGTCTGATTTGGTTTCAAAATCGGGTCAAATCCAACATGACCCATTTTTGACTTTGGTTTCAACATATGTTTTTAATTTGATTTTTTTGTATACTTATTGATTTAATTTTTAAAGTCATGTAATTTAGTTATTTTTTAAAAATATATAAATTATATAATAAATTTGATATTTATTGAATAAATAAAAGAATGTAATTTTTTTTAACAAAAAAGGTTATTTAATTTTAAAATCCAAATACAACGAGTTACATCAGAGAGAAGATGAACAACAAAATTCAAGAGGAAACAAAAGCTACGATGTAAAAACCATTAAAATAAAATAAAAAATGAAGAAATAGTGAGAAAGAAAATCTAATGCTTGTTATGAAAATGAAGGAGGCGATGTTAGGCGATGTTGGAAGGATCAGAGAGTTAGATCCAAAGCCAATAACAAAGACCATTATAGCAAAACATGACAGCAATAAGGTATTTAGGCATATTATACCATATGAGCTTAAATCAACCAATCAGCTCGAGATTGAGCACAAGAAAAATTGAGAAGCATACCTTGAACTGCAATTGTAATTGCGGTGGCTGATCCTCTTGGTGGAGTGGAAGAATGTCGACAGAGAGAAGAGAGAAGTGAGAACCCTAAAAATGAAAACTACAATTGTGATTGTTTTTTTCACATAATGGGTATGAGTCAAGTTTTGGGTCAATGGATCAATTATTAAAATAAGTCAGGTCTAAAACTGACCCAAATAAAAGTGGATCAGTATTTAAAACTAGTTCAAAAAAATAGATATTTATGAATCAGATCAAGATCAGATCAAGAACAGATCAAGTGAGTCAGATTTTTTGCACGCCCGTAGTAGGAACCACCCAATACAAAGATCATTGGGAGACCAGGTAAAACACATGGCATTATTGGCTTTATTGGACAAGGCTTTGCTGGGGTGGAAAATCTAATGTGGTTAAAAATAAATACCTAAAAGTCATTAGGGTAGGGACCTCTTGGCATATCTAAAATAAGACGCATACCAAGGAATGCCCCACTGTTGACTTTGAAAGATAAGACTTTGATCATACTATCCTTTGACATGATGATCTATCATAAGAAGCATTTTAGCCAACTTCAAAGTTTGGCAAATTCTTGTAAATAAGGGGAGCTCAACATATGGATCTTTTCAAGAAGGTGGGGGCAGGAAGACGTAATCCACACTGTAAAGAACTTTGGAATACACTACTTCAAAAGTTAGCTTAAAGAGTGAGAGTGTCCAAGACACATAAAACCAATATGGGACTATATATCTCAACACGACCCCTCACACGAGAGCCCATTGGGCTTGAAGAATGGAAGATGCAACAGGCCCAGCTACCTGTGCTAAGAAAGTCTACAAGAGAAAGTGGGGGACGGCGAGACTCTGATACCATGTTAAGAACCTTAAGTAAGAACCATGCATCACCCCAAAAGCTAGCTCAAAGGGTGAGAGTGCCCAAAACCTTACAAACTTCACAACACATAAAACCAATATGGGACTATATATCTCACCACACACATTGGAGAAATGATTCGATTCATTGGTATGGAGTCAAAGACAAAATATAACGATTAAAATAATGATAAATTAAATTAAAGGACCCGTCTCGATTTTTAATGAAAGGTATTTTCATATCTATTTTCGACAGAAAATTTTTTGATCGGAAATTTCTTCATTATTTTCAATGGAATTTTGTTCCGTCAAAAATTTCTGTCAATAATAAGTCAATTTCTAGTTGTGGATCTTATTTTTTAACTATGTGAATAATACCCTAAGTCTTAAATATATTCAATTATTGATTTTAAAATTAATTTCTTTTAATCGAATCATCATTCGAGTAATAATAAGGACATCGTTTTGCTACATATATAAAATTACAAAAATTCTAAAACTTTTTTTCTTTTTCTGTTTTTTGATTTTAGCTTACAAGACTTCTTAAAAGTATCTTTTTGAAAAATGATTGTTCCGCAACATATATATAATGCACGCTAAGGTAATGTAAAAGAAAATTTGTATAGTTAAAATTTAGATTGAGAGAAGAACGTCTCTCCAACCTCAAACATTTCATAAATGTAATAACTATTCATAAGCCACAGAACCTCCACGCAAAAATACGATTTAACTAAAGAGAGACCCTACAAAGGATGGCTATGTCTGAATCCAGCCTAATAGCATCAACATAGTCACTTCTGAGTTCTGACAAGTCAAAAGACCAAGGGCAAAAGAGATGGTACGGGACACACGTTGACTTTGCACCTCAGAGTCATGTACTTGCAAGCTAATAACTTCTGAATCTGATAGAAACAAACACCAAATTGAAGATTTTGTCTCGTAGACTTTCTGCCACTGGCCATATTTCCCACGAGCTGACCAGTGATGGAGTGAGTGCATGAAAATTTAGATAAGTCCATCGCCAGCACCAATCATAAGCACAGGATAAACTGGTAAACCTCATCTCTAGGATTCGAATATGTGATTGAGCTAAATGATGTTTTCCTAGATATTCTTATGCATACGTACGTGAATTTGTGTGCTAGACTAATGCAAACATATATACTAATTTAAACTAATCCTGCATGACAACCCTATATATATATATATATATATATATATATGGGTAGGATCTTTTGATACTGGTGTCAAATTTAAAGTTTGACACCTCATTTGATAGCCGTTAGATAAAAAAAGATCAATGATGTCACATGATTATAAATCAGAGTCGTTGATTTTTTTTTTATTTAACGGCTCTCAAATGAGATGTTAAACTTTAAATTTAACACCAGTGTCAGAGGATCCTACTCCATATATATATATATACACACACATGAAGTATGATCCTTTGACACCTCATTTGATACCCGTTAGATAAAAAAAGATCAATGGTGTCACATACTTACAAATCAGAGTCGTTGATCTTTTTTGATTCAACGACTCTCAGACGAGGTGTCAAATTTAAAATTTGACACCAGTGTCAAAGGATCCTACCTCTACCCCTCTCTCTCTATATATATATATATATAAGCTAAATAAATATTAAATTCTCATTGAATGGTCACGAGTTTTTTTTTTTTTTCTTTTAATTTAGGTTTATCCTATATACTCATATTAGAGGTATTCAAAAACTATACGTACATATGGTACTAGTAAATTGAAGCTTATTATTTTTCTAATATTTGGTATTGAGAATACATGTGGATTGTAGGGTGAGGGAGGGGGATAAGTGCAATGAAAAGTACATTAAAGCATTCATTTCAACATTGTGGTATACTTGGTTGGAGAAACCAAAAAAATAGAGAATTAATAATATAAACTAATGACGTCTATATAATACTACATGCCTAAATTTTATTACTCCTCTCTAATCCTTCTTCTGCTTTAAAATTAATTCATCTTCAACGCGTCCGTAGTTCTGGTGCAATGTGATACTTTTCGGAGAGAGGAAGATATGGTAGAGTCTATAGCCATCCCCTAATTTAAATAATCTTGTTCAAGCACCACTTGCTTCACTGCGACCATAACAATAGGAAATCCAAACGACATATATAGGGTGAAAACAGCAGTGAAAGATCAGTATCAGCAACTTGTAAAGACAACAAAATATAGGTTCCAAACAACATAATAGCAACATATAATAATTATCACATGCTAGTGTTTGCATGGATAAAACTGAAAATCTGCTGAACGGAGCTGGCTATATCTTCTGCACTGAACCTTGAATCACTAGCCACCTGCACATGCATTAGACAAATTAATTAACACAAGCATCTCAAAGTAAATACCATATTTTAATTTCTAGGTATCATCATATATAGACCTTGACATTGAATGAATAAAGAACAGTTTGTTCAATGGTGGTGATGTTGGTGTGAAGGATAATTAGCTGGAGATCTTCAAGTGCAGCAATGGTCTTGATCAACTGTCCTGGCCTCCTCCTTGATAGGATCTTGATCATGGCATCGAAACCTAGAAGCTTCACTTCTACATCAGCCAAACAAGACTTGCTCTCCGCGGTTTCTTCTCTAAGCCCACTCTCCAACTCCACAAGCTTCATCTGATCATTTGGCAAAGGTGGAAAAAATGGAGGCTGAATTAGAGGTTGCTGTGTTGCAGCATTAACACCCGAATCCCCAACCTGTCTTGATTGTGCTTCTCCGAGTAATCTCCTCCTCTTTTGTGATTCCAAACACTGAAGAAGTTGCTCCAGTTCCCTCACAAACTCTATAGCTCCCCCAATAATCGAAGCTTGATCTCCCTGTATATATAAAAAAAACCACATTAGTTAAATCCCAACTAATTAATGTGGATAGGATGTAGGACAATTTCTGTACGCAGTCTTATTCTTACATATTTGTAAAGACATTGTTTCTCGGATTCGAATCCGTGACATTTCAGTCACGAACAGCTTTACCATTACTCCACTCTTTCCTTATATATATCAAATAAAATGAAAAGACAAACTAGTTCACTATTACATGTGAATTAGAGTTATGTCACGAATCATTAAGTCGTTATGAAGACATGCGTGAATGGTTTTTTATATTATGTTTTTAATATGATTACTTACCCTTTGGACGTATGAACCAGGCATGAGGGATCTGAGGACACGAAGATGCTCATTCATTTGCTTCCTTCGATTCCTTTCAACTGCGATATGAGTCATGCGCTGGCTCTCAACTTCTTCACTTGTTTTAACGGTTCTTGGTCTCTTCCTTTTGTTCTTGTTTTCCTGCACTGTAGAATTCTTTTGGAGGTCTTCATGGCCAAGAAAACGAAGCTGCTGCACCGAGTTATTGTCATCAGAAACTCGAGTTTCTTCTTCTTCTCTGATTATTCCATCTTCTAATTCTGCTGTTACCCCTACCCTTGACTTATCTTCCATGCTCACCAAATTGAACCTCTCATCATTTTCTGCTTCTCCATCATCACCACCATCAGCATCTTGGTTCACCATCAAGTTTTGTTCCTCCATCTTGTCGTTTAACACAGGGAATTTTAGAAAGTAAACCGGGTCGATCCCTGATTCTTCACAGTTCTTGGCTTGGTTTAAGGCCAACTTGGGTCCAAAATCTGCAAACTGCATCACATCTGCAAAACTGAGCTTATCAAAAGAAGTGTTGCCATTACCATAAAACCCTGATGATGTTATATGTGACGGAGGTGGTAGTGGTGGCGGCGGTGGTTGTGTTTGAGGCATGTAATCCACCATTATGTTGTTGTTTTCTCTTGAAGTTTCGCCTATGCGAAACTTCATAAGCTGTTGCTGGTGTTGTTGATGTTGAAGTTGATTTTGTGGATAAAGATGTTGATGATGATGATCAAGAGAGTAGTCTAGTGTGTTGAAACTTGAGGGTATGGCTGCCTGCAGTGATTCGAAATTGGAGCAAAACAACATGGTGTCTCTATATGAGAGTGATGAAAAGATCTAACATAAAAAACTTGAATGGAGCCAAACACATAAAAGAGCCACGGAAGAGAGATATGTTTGTACCGAATAGTCGTGATCTTTCTCCATTATTATTATCTTATAAAGAAGATAACTTTAATCGAAAGAAACCCTAAGCAACCTCACTTCATGTAAGACAAAACCCCACCAAAGTTTCTTGAGGGCCCTCCACCTGAAGTATTGGTAAATCACTAAATATATCAAACATCATGTTACAAAGTGTGTTAATGATGAAGAACAAAGAAAAAGACAACAAATTTATTAGTTTTTATCTTATGTAAATGTATAATTAACAACTAAATGAAACAGTTGTAAATGATATGAGCTAAGAAAATAAACCTGATAATTTGGAGTGAGGGAAATTGGAAGAAGACAAGGGTGAAAGTCAAGTGGGGTCTTGAAGACTTGTGTAGAAGAGAATCATGAAAGGGTGTGTACCCCACATGAAGAGGACGATGGAAATGGGTGTTTTGATTGAAGGGTGGTGGTGGTTTTTTGTGTATATAATGGGACAAGGTGTGGGGCGCTGGGGATGATGGGTTTGACTTCTTAATTGTCACAGAGAAGGACAAGAGAGAGAGAGAGAGACAGAGAGAGCCTAAGGATGATTAAATTTACACCTCACAGGTTCACCACCTTTTATTAATGTTTGTCACAGGCTAGCAACGCTCTTGTGCTTACTTTACCGCCTTGTTTCATGAGTTTATGCTGAACATTGTACATTTTTGTTATCTAAACTTTGAACTTTGAATTTTCAATTAGGGTCACATTCAGGTATGCTACGTAGTTTCTTTCTTTTTCTTTTTCTTCCCCCAAATTTTTTGGTGGATGAGACTCACGTGGCCACATGAAATAGTTTTAACAAAATAGCTAGACAAAGCATTTATATGTTTTAACATTGTTTGCAGATCTCACAGTTTTATCCTTAGAATTACCTCACATTGGAAAATTGGCCTCCTCTATGCAATTTTCAAAACTAATATTAACTTCAAATAAAACTGATCAATTTTGTACGTACAATTGATTAATTGTAGTATTCATGAATAGCAATAACTACTTTTTTTTGCAACTACGACTTAAAATAATTGCTATCACAATATTTCGTATACGTAGTATGTGACGGAAGGCCACAATTCAATTTGGAGTGAAAGTTGAACATAAGCATGATCTAGATACCTTAGATTCGTCTTAAACAAAGTGATAAAAATATTGACATGGATAACGCACATAAAATTCAAGCTACGTGAATGAAAAGGGAAAAAAAATGCTTCATTTGTAACTTTAGCGGTAGAAGGAACGGAGAGGACATTCGAATCTCAACAAATCGAGAAATTAGTCAATATTCTTAGGGTTTAATTAATAGGAAATAAATTTATATATATATATATATATATATATATATATATATATATATATATATATAGGGGAGAGATCATTTGACTCCAAAGTAAGACTTATAAATCTTACTCCTCATCCTAGCCGTTGATTTCCGTCCATCCAACGGTTATAGTTTAAGAAATTAAATTAATTAATTAATTATTAATTACACCATAAATGACAACCGTTGATTTTCGTTCATCAACGGCTGAGATGGGGAGTAAGACTTAAAAGTCTTACTCTAAAGTCAAAAGAATCCTCCCCATATATATATATATATAAGGGGAAAAAGATTTCTCATGTTGCATGAGAAATCTTCTCTCCTACCACTCTCACTTCGATGTCCGTGCCAATCATTTATCTATTTTTTATTTTTTTCTTTAAGGTGGGCCTCACCCCTTTATCTCTCTGTAGGAAAACTTGCATTTCTCATGCAACATGAGAAATTGCAAGCCCTTATATAAGTGTGTGAGGTTTATGTGGACTCATACGAGAAAAAGTGAGAGAGAAAAAATATGAACCTCACGCACTTTAATGTGTGTAGGCCACGAGAAACATTAAACCCATGTCCTATTCAAATTTGGATCCAAATCCTATTGTTATATAGTTATGCATTTTTCTTAATCATTGATATGACTAGCGGCGGACCTGCACTTGTGTAAGTGACCGTAAGTGCAGACACAAACTTTCTTTAAATTTTTTTTTCGTAAAATATACTTGAAAAAGAAACTTACATGTGAATTCTATGAAATAATGTCCTAAAGATTAGAAAAAATAGTGTATAACACAGCTAAGAATACGAATCTTGTACTCATGAAAACATCTTGTAAGTCTTTGCAGAAAGAATAATTGTTCGAATTCCTCCTATAAGTGCAAGGGTTGCTATTAAAATGCCAACAAACGTGCAAGGGTTGCTATTAAAATGCCAACAAAAAAAAATATTAACGACTTAGATATCTATAAATTCTTTGCTATGAACATTGAAATCAGTTTAGTATGAAAATTGTACCACGTACTGATGCAATCCAATGGAAGCTCCATCGTTTTGGTTTTTTCAACCCAAGCCATAATATACAAGGTATATGCATCAAATGTTTTAAAACTTAGTAGAAGAACACTAGTAATTGTAAGATTTAAAACACAGACACAATTTTTCCTGAGTCTGCCACTAGATATGACTTATGAGGTATCCTTACAAATATCACTCAATATTATAAGACTAATTATTTAGGTACTCTTTAAACCGAGTATTAACTAAGAGGTCCTTCAAATAATCATTGTTTTCAAAGTTCGAACTTTTGGTCCTCCTACTTTAAAAATGTGTATCTTGATTGAATGGTTTGATTTCCGTCAAAGAAGTAACATAAAGGGTAATAAGTGATCACGTACGTACGTGATTAATAATAGCTTCCATTTAATCACCCTATATGAAACATATCTGAAACACATAGTTAAAGTATTGGAATAATGAGGAAAAAGAACGCAACATTGGTATCCTACGCATTGTACGTGGAGACCTTCTTACTTCTTTTCCCCATTGGTCATTGCGGGTCACAATGATTGTCCTTGTAAGTTTGAGTTTATTTGTGCTAAATATGAATTAATGAGATTTTAATATGAATCTACAGAAGTTATGGACCAAACTGTATTTTGGTCTCTAGATTTTTCATATATTCAGTGCATGCTAATGACATTTGTTTAGGTTACTCTACTTTTGGAAATTAAATGAGTGTTTCAGACGATTTTTCATAGTATAATTAGAACAAATTAAGAAGGAAATCACATGATTACTTAATAGTTTCTCTATGAATTCCTTGACAAAAATCAGAAACTAAACTAAGACACACTTTCGAAGTTAGAGACCACTTCTTCTTCTTCCTTTTTTTTTTCTCCAGATCAAATCCTACGTATAAATGGCTACAATAGAGTTTTTCCTTTTCTTGTAGGACGGCCACGTACTTAATTACGTTTAGCATTTGGACTTCGACTACTCCACACATTGATTTTAAAGTTTTTAGATTAAAATGCACAATTAATAAAATTAAAAGTACCGGCTTCTAGAATTTAAATTCTCAAAGAGATTGAGGTTTGTCCTGATTCTAGTGGAATACATGTGTTTAACATCACCTAAATTTTTATGTACCAAAATAAATTAAAAGTAGTTTTTTTTATTTTTTAAATAAAAACATTTTTGTGTAATTTTTTTAATTATATATTATAGTAAATGAGATTAAAAAGTGTATATTATTGTGATTATCTCCTTTTTTGATAGTTCGTTATTTTTAGTTATACCATCTTGATTTTGACATTATTGTTTTTAATATAAAAATAAAATAAAAGATAAGAAAGATAAGCGAAAAATTAGAAACATGGTACTAATTAAGGTTCGAATTTATAAGTTCAAATAAACTACATGTTGGTGAGATATTATCCCGCCTTGTAAGGCTTGGTGTGGGTAGAGTTAAATTGAATCACGTACGAGTCATTACACTTCACTAGGTATTAAAGCTGATCGATATCACGAATTCGATTCCTTGAAATGATACTTTGTGGAAGAAAGATGTTGAAAAATGGTTAGTAATAGTAAGAAATAAATCTTTGGTATTAATGTTGCATCAAGATTCAGTGCATTCCATCAATGAGAGTATTACACATTATAGGAGAGAAAAAAATTTGGCAGAGAAAAAAAAAATTGGCTGACATATAATATTTCTATTGGTGGGATATACTGAATCTTTGGTGCAACAGTAGCAACAAAAATTTATTCATTGATAATTAATAAGGACTTAGCCTTCTTAGTTTAAAGGTGTGATAGTGACCCTTCTTGCTAACGTGTTTACACTAAGGTGGTGTTTGGTTTATGGTTTTTGGAAACTTTCCTATGCAAATGAAGCAAGTATTTCAGTTTGGACTTGTTTGGTTCGAGAGATTCACTCAAAATTCCCATCCATCCAATTTGCATTGCTTTTTCAATTTGTATAGCTTTCGACATTGTTTAGAAAGACAAAAGGTAGGTGGTTTTATTTGAAAAGCAGGCTAAACCTTTATAAAGACAAAAGCTGTGCAATAATGGTATCTGCCCTAGATCTGAGAACCCCAAAACACCCTCTCAGATTCTCCACTCTATCCCTAATACCAACCTCATTTTCCCAATCCATCACTCCTCCCTGTGAACCCCTCCTCTCCAATTCTCCTCTCAGCTCCTCCATTGCCACCTTCGATCTTCTATACTCATACAACATCCCAGGCCCCTCATTGATCTGGCTCATCTTCGCCGCCACCCTCTGTTGCAACCTCGCCGTCGACATCATAAACGCCGATCCCAGGAACAAGCAACCCTCGTACCCTCCCACCACAAAATCCGAGGATTCTGGCCAACAGTACACCAACCCATATACCAAAATCATCAGCAACAACGAACTCACGTTTCTCATTGCATAAAGCACAGCTCGGAACCCGTTGAACCCGTTTTTCAATTTTCTCCACCTCTAACCTTATAGATGAACGCGGCTCTCAACGACGGCGAGTCTCTAAAACAATGAGGTTGATTTAAATGTAAAAAACACATAGATTAAAAAAATAAAAATAAAAATAAAACGGGGTTATTTTCGTAAAAACAACTTTTTTTTCCATCTATATTTTACCTACCCCTAACATAAACTTTATAAAAATTACATAATTTTCCCATCACAATTTTATCCAACCAAACAACTTTTTTTACATTTTTCTATCAAATTCACATTTCAACAATTTTCCTATCAATTACATTTTTTCTAGCATTCAAAAATTTTATCCTCAGCCCCTTTAAAAGAAATGCATGTGTCTTTCCATATAATATCTCGTAAGAAAAAATGATTGTGGCATTTAAAATGAGCAAGATGAAAGTTGCTTTGATAGATGGGAGGGTATAATTGGGTTTTTGATGGAAGGATCATCTTGCCCACCAATATGACACAGCCATACATTATTTCCTATCACGGTCTCTGTGGAGCTCGTCCAGCTGCCATGGAACTTGCAATGTTGGAGTATCGGCTCACATTGGAGCAGCACAGCACACGGGAACTGGGAACATTAATGCCCATCACTTCATGAAATTCATCAATCCCAAACCTCCTCACTCTCTTTATTACTATGTTATTTTTTCATCAATTCCCTTTTCATTTTCTTATTTCTTTAATAAATTTCGAATCTAGTTTTTTTAAAATTAGCGATTATTATCGCATTGTTTATTAACCTTTTTTAATTATTAATGCCAATTTAATTCTTTACAAATTTAATATGTTATCATTTGATTTTTTATAAAAAATTAAAATAATGATACAAAATATAAATTTAATAACTATTCAATATTTTTAAGAGACTAAATAATAAATTTTTTGAAAAGCTAATACGGGGATATGGTAATTTTTAAACAACCTATTTAAATTTTTTTATTTACTTTTTGGCTACAACATTCTTTCATTTATCTATTTAATAAAATTTTATTTTCTACTGATTTATCGATTTCCCAATTAATCTAATTCAGTTTAAGTCAAAGAGGACACAGGGAAGATTATAAAACTCTTCCTATCAAATTTTTAACATTATTACATATTTATTACTTGAACTCATAACCACTAATTAAGTTGGAACAATTTCATACAAGTTAATTCACGTACACTTACTCACAAGTGATGTCATGAGTCTATGCCTCGCGTTGGGATAAAAATTGTATTGATCTGCACCAAAAGGGCGGCTAAGACAAAGGTGCCAGCAGCTAAGGAAAGCCTGTCGCCCTCTTTGCTTTCACTTAGCCTTATCTTAGTTGCCTTGCAAGGAGAATTCATAAAACAAACTCTTTTTATCCTTCTGATGAACAAGCTTTTGACTCTGGATTTTCGTATCCTCTCATTGGACTTATTTCAAACAAACTCTTTACACTCCGGTGATTTCTTTCTTTCTTCCTTTCTTTTATCTTAGTCTATCTCCTTCCTTTTATGTTATCTTTACTTGATGAATTACTAGTGAAAATGCTTCCTCTAAGACAAAGATGAAATGAAAAAATAAAAAAAGTTAAAAACAAAACCTATAGTTTGCTCTACAATTATTTATCCCCTATATTTTTTCCCTTATATATATTTTTTCACCAAATCCTTCGTTATATATTAGGCTAGTATGTTTATTTTGCCTATGTGAACATTAAAAAACCTAAGTGATTAAAAACAAAAAACAAAAGACAAAAGAGGGTGAGTGATGAAATAGTAAATCACATAAGCTTTTTAAACTTTTCTCTTACAAGAATTAAAAAAATAAAAAATAAAAGACTTCTTGTGAGAAATGATGTGGTACTAAACAAGCTACTTGAGGTGTATGACCTTAGAGGAGTTATATAGGTAAAACATTGTCCATTATGTTTGCAATTTATGTATCTTTTATTTTTGTTAATTATTGTCTTTGAATATATATATATGAGGTAGGATCATTTGACACCAGTGTCAACTTTGAAATTTGACATTTCATCTGAGAGCCGTTAGATCAAAAAAGATCAACGACTCTGATTTGTAGGCATGTGACATCATTGATCTTTTTTGATCTAACGGCTTTCAGATGAGGTGTCAAATTTGAAATTTGAAACTGGTGTCAAAGGATCCTACCTCACACACACACACACACACACACACATATATATAAATAGTATAAATTTCAATATGAAATCATAAAAAATATGGCTAAACCTATACCAAAAATTGGTTCGCGTAAAAATGGACGTATTGGTTCGCAGAATCTAAGTATAGTGTTGAACAAGTAGGTGTTCGGATGATTTCTGATTTCAATTATGAGAATGATGCCTGAACTGTTGAATTCATTAAATGTCGATTCCTAAAAAACAAGTAAGTGTAATTCTCCCTAAACAATAAAATTTGTTGACATGAGGAGGAACATATTTACTAGTTATATCGTCGGCAATCGACTTATATATATAGAGAGGTAGGATCCTTTGACACTAGTGTCAAATTTGAAATTTGACACCTCATCTTAGAGCCATTAGATCAAAAAAGATCAATGGTATCACATGCTTAGAAATCAGAGTCGTTGATCTTTTTTTATCTAATGACACCTCATCTAAGAGCCGTTACATAAAAAAGATCAATGGTGTCACATGCTTACAAATCAGAGTCGTTGATCTTTTTTGATCTAATGGCTCTCAGATCAACGACTCTGATTTGTAAGCATGTGACACCATTGATCTTTTTTTATCTAATGGCTCTCAGATGAGGTGTCAAATTTCAAATTTGACACTGATGTCAAATGATCCTACCTCTATATATATATATATATATATATATATATATATATATATATATATATATATATATATATATATATATATATATATATATATATTTCGTATCCTATTGTCTTTGAATATATTACTAGTATACAAGTATATGGTTGCTAAAGAAAAGATTATATTACATGATCGGACACATCTATATGCTCATTACCCTAAGGTGGTGTTTGGTTCCATTCTTTTCAATATTTTCCTAGGCAAATGAAGTTTAGTTTTTAGAAAATCAATGTTTGTTTCAACAGCTTTTGACCAAAACCCATCCATGTGAAATGCATAGTTTTTTGAGAAAGATAGGAATTTGCACTGTTTAGAACCGAATTTGAGGGTGGTTTTTTGAGAAAACCCGGATAAAGCACTGTTGACACACTTTTTGTCATATATATCCCTGGTAAAGTTTTGTCAAACCAAACTACTTTTTCTTAACTTCCCCGTCTATTCAACTTTCCCTATGGATACCTAGTAATTACATTTCTCTAGTATTCTTAAAATTTATCTTCAACCAAACGTCCCCTAATGGTTTTCTTTTCAATTTTAACTAATTAATATATTTTTTAAATAAATTTAAAAACAATATGTAAAACAAATAGAAGATGAAAATAATAGAAATAGAGCATCTATATGTAATAAAAAAGAAATAGACCATCCATTAACAATTTTTTTTACTTTTCACAAAAAAATAGAAATTTCGCACTATCTAATTCTAATTTAAGTACACTGCAAGAATACCCAAAAATATAGTGGTAGAAAAAACATAAACAGATAAATAATTTTGAACAAACCATTGGATTTTTTTTTATCTTTTCGCTAAAATAAATGGCTACAAGCCTACAACTTCAAAATGCTAAAAAAAGACAGTACGCGGAAATAGAAGTGATCATAAATCAATCTAATTCATGGAAATAGCAAAAGTAATCAAAAAAATTGGAAAATTGTTTTTTTATTAGACTAGATCAGTTTCCAGTTTTGATTTTAAAAATTGATCACATCCAATGTTATCCAATGTTGGAAATCAACAATCACACAAATCGCAAATGAAAAAAGAGAGAGAATAAACACGGTGATTTATCATGGTTCATCCACAATAGGTTACATCCATCTTGTCTGTACTATATTCACCTCACCGTCACTCATTACAAGTCACTCGGTTTACAAAAAAAATATAAATAAGATTAGAAAATCCTAACAGCAGCTATTCATGGGCCCAATTTCCTTTCTGTTGACCCGACAACAAGGGCCATCATCAGCATGCGAGTATGAGCCATACCCAACACTTTTATATATACATATATGGAATTTATACTTATATATATGGGGAATGATCCAGTTACAAACTTTTTAAAATCTTTGATAAAATAATTATATTGAGTGGAATAAAATACAGGTCTAATAGATAAAATATATGTAATGTCCTCATTGCGCATTCCATCGTGCTAAACGACGGGGAAAAAATTAAAGACTAAGAAAGGCCATAGTGATTTGATAAAGTCGGCCGCGCATAAGAGCCAGTATAAATGAGACAACTCCAGTTTGCCACTACTCTAAAGAGACAGACTAACATTTAGGCTTGTTCATCAAGGAATAGCTTGAAAGGTACCGACTTTGACAGAAGGACAACCACCCTAAATAATCAATAAGAAGAGATGCTGCCTACAAAGGACAACATATAGCACACTAGAAATATAGAGGATACAAGCTCAGGTATGGATATCTCTCCATTACAAATGATATACACCTTATATTGATACCGACTTGAGTGTTAGATTATCTTTGTAGGTACTACCCCCAATCACTCTCATTACGTCAAAGCTACAACATAAACACTTCAAGGAGAAGCCCATCCACCATCACGCTATATTATCTTGCAACAGCCTTGAGGCCCACAACCTTCAACTGTATGTGATTTGAACCATTCAAATTACTTGGACCGGACAGATCACATATCTCTTTTAGTTTATGTAAAAACATATTTGCAATATAAATTACAGTTCATAGTGTGTTTGTTTTTTTTAATTCTTCTATTCTTTAAATTTATGGTATTTTTTTCAAATACATAGTTTTCAATTTTGAATGATTTTTCTAGCCTGTTGTTGTCTACTCTAATTT